TGTGTGTGTGTGTGTGTGTGTGTGTGTGTGTGTGTGTGTGTGTGTGTGTGTGTGTGTGTGTGTGTGTGTGTATAATATATATGTGTAATATCGAGTTGCTTAAAATATCGTACGATTAAAAACAACAAGGACAATGTTACGAAGTAACATTTTTGATTGTCTTCCTAGAAAGAGGTTCGCTCCAAAATCGTATTCGCCTCGACCCTCGACTGGGCCGCAGCCACGTACAAAATCGTCGGAAATATTTCCCGTTAATGTTTCCTTACTTCGGTCTCTCTTGTCTGTTTTTTTTTTTAACTCTTTTGGTTTGCTTTCATTATACAATACGACCTCTTTAGCGTTTAAGATACGGGCTAACGTATCGAAAAAATGTCTTTATACGGAGTACTTTCAGTCAGAAAATATATCAGATCACGCACGCGCCCATCACTAAACTTCGACTCGGTTTCACGCGTTCTTTATTCTCTAGGCCAAAAAGAGATTTCATCCTCTTCATGCAACAACCATAACTTACTTTCTCTCACTCTTTCATTCTTTCACTCTCTCCCCATCTCCCCTCCCTCCCTCTACCACCTCCCCTGTCTCACTCACTCTATCTCTCTCTCTCTACTCTCGCTTTCTCTCTCTAAATTCAAGTGTCCTGAGGTCCGATTATTAAGTAGCGATCGATCGATTCCTGTATCGTTCACGAGTATAACCAGAGTATAATATCCTGGAACGCGCTCATCAGTTCGCTAATTAAATAACGCCTTATACATATAATAACAAGATTAAATAGTAGCACTTAGAAAGATTATTCTTATTTAGAATCGTGTACCTTTTCCGCGTGGGATCGTTCACACTCGCGCCTTCCCGAAGTTATTCGCGCGGGGGGGGTTTTTTTTGGGGGGGGGAGGGTAAACGTATCTCGAGTCCTCTGGCGATAGCCTCGAGCGTAATCAGAAAACAATAGGTGCGTTTAATACTGTGCGTAAAAAAGTAATACCGTAATCGGAACGCAAAACGAACAACTCGAGCGAACCTTCTTTCGCTTCCGAAACATCTTTTCGTACTCTCGTTCGCGACTGCGCGTCTCTCCTTTCTGTTGAGATCAAAAACACTTCTGAGAAGCAATGATTTCCGCGTAGCTCAGGAAATGTTGTCTGGTAACGAAAATCTTACGACACAACATCGTGATCCCTCCGAACAGGTGAATACGCATTAAAGATCCGCATATAATGATACACACATACCGTATCTCGTAGACAGTCCCACAAACACTGCACGTCATTTTTTCAGAAGAGACATTCCTTGCGCGCGAGACATTTCGTCAAATGCTTCGTGGGACAGACGAGCTCTTCTCGTCGTCCGTACTGTACACCCTCGTTACACCATCTCTCGTAAATGCTGCTGTACACGTCGCGAAGGTGACTTGTTACGGAAATGGATAAAATTATGTTAGCAAAAAACACAGGTAACAGCGTAGACTTTTTTTTTCACCAATTCCCTACTACCTCTGACAGTCGCGAGACTCCTCCTTCCCGGAGAAGCAACACGCGATCCTCTATCGTCACTATTCGCGAACCAGAATACACGCGTCCACGGCAAAATATCATTTACCGGCGTGGATTTCGCGAATCCTCGTGCAATTTCACATTCGAGACTAGGTCGTCGATCTTGTTCAACTCAATACGTGTTCCCACTGAGCGATTCCGGCATGCTGGTTCCCCCAGAGGGAGATAGAGGTAATTCCCCACTTTCGTATTTACTGCAACGACTACTGTACTCGGCCATTAGGCTTTCCTTTACCTGGAACAGCAACAAAAGCGTTGTTCGGGTCACCGAGGAAAAGAAAAATAAGTCACAAAAGCATTGCATGTAAACGGTACCGAACCTTGGCTCTTTCCTCCTCGAGCCTCTGCCGAACTTCTTCGTGCTGCCGCTCCAGCTCTGTCCTCTTTTTCTCATAAATTTTCGTCAACCGTGTACACTCGTGTACACCCTTCTCGACGGTAGACTTCGCGACCTCTCGTTTCATACGATCCAACTCGGCTTTATCTTTGTGTACCTTTGCCAACTGTTTTACCTATAGAAAAACACAAATGCGTACCCATCGAATGACTTGACTATCTAATGTTAGTATGAAGGAAACGTACCTCTCCGTGTCGAGTAGCCTGAAGTTTTCTCATAACATCCGCGGTTTCCCGCTCGAAAAGAACTCTCAGAGTCTTTATACGCTCCTGCTGAACCTGGGCCTTGCACACAGCCAATAAACGCTCGCTCTGACTTCTCGGTAATCCCCTTGGCGCTCCCCCATTTCCTTCGCGATTCTCTAGATCCGTACACTCCGAGGTCTCCGCTAGGGCTAACGTACTCAGTCCTACCTCGCTCGAAAAGCTACAACAAAAACTAGAAATGTGTAAGCAGAAAAGAATGTCCACTTTAGTACAAGTGAACGACTTACATGTTTCTACTCGACAACCGCTTCACCAACTTGTGACTAACACAAAACCTCGACTTATGCTTTTCACTGTCGATCGAGCTTTTCTGTGACTGCATCCTAATCTTTTCTTTCTCGTGTTTCTTTCGTAACGATTCCAACTTCTTCTCAAGCTCCATCTTTTTCTCCCTGACAAGCTTGTTCTCCATTAGCTTTTCTAAAGATTCAGCCACTATCTCATCGGTGGCTACAATATCAAACATATTTATATACATAAGTTCATGTTTAGTCATTTGGAACATAACTGAGTAATAATTACTGACAGCTGCTAGCGTTAAGCGGACTCTTATTCATCGAAGTATCGACAACCGGAGCCGGAGTTGCTGGCGTTCCATCTTCGTTATCTTGAGTATCGGAAGTGTTAACGCCGGCAATGGATGGCCTTCCATGCACATTGGTAGATGCAGGCACGAGCGTGGGCAACTCGCCCACGGATTGTAGTCTCTTCGTTTTGACTGTTTCCTCCTGTAACAAAGTATTATAGAAGGTATCCAAGTATTAAATGCTAGACAGCAAATGACGTCCTCTAACCGACAAACTTACAGGTGGTTTAGAGGAACTTGGTGTCTCATTAACTTTCGGCTTATCCTACAAAATGTTAGTATACGGCTGTTAGCGTGTTACTGGGTTAGTAGATAAGAATTTTCTAACATTTCAAACCTTACATCAACGTCTTCCGACAGATCCTCCGAGTAGTCCGTGAGAACGGACAGCTGCTTCTCCCTTTTCTCCACTTCGCTCTGATATTTAATCGGATTCGCCAGGGCTTCGGCTAACTCGCTCAGACCGTCCGGAACGTAATCTTTAACGATAACGTGTAAGAACAGACTCGCCAGTGCTAACGGTTGGCCACACTCTGTTCTGAGAGCAACATGTCGATATCCTGGACATAATCCAACCACCGGTAATACTCTATGACCTATCAAACGGCCCGATTCCTCATATGCAGCAATTCTAATGGAAGCAAGTTCGGGTAGAACAACCTATTGAACATACAAACCAAGATTGTAACATATATATATATACATATTAGTAAGAGTAATTCATATCAGTCTTAACCTTTTTAAACACGAAAGGTTCTTCATCGTATACAGGATTGATGCCGTTGTTCGGAACGATCTTCGTCCGAAATTTCTTTCTGACAGTATCCGCTGGTAAACCGTACATGTCTACCTCCACGTAAGTACCCACTCTTTTATCCGTTAAAAACTGCGCCGATATCACGTGTATGTGAACCGTTCCGGCTATAATGCCATCTACAGTTGATTCCGCGAAAGGATCTAATCGTCGGTCCCTTCGCCTCATAAACTCCGGTTTCAGAAGGTAGCCGGATCGCTGATTGTATTCGAAGATACCCAAGTTTAACTGCATAGCAAGGTCTGGAACAAAAGATTAAAATATATCATCGATGAATATTTTACCACTTACAACAGGATATGATCACTGAACGTTAGCATACCGAGTGTTTGGTAATTCAACGCCACCAGTTGGCATCCTGCGTTCCAGAATACCTGAGGCATAAAGTTGCTGGAGTCAAACCGCGTGCCTGTTGGATACACTCTCGATAGTTGATGCTTATTATAATTCACAAACTCGAGTGGCCTTTCCTTCAGAAGAGTAGTAGCTTGCTTTTCATCGAACGATGACATTTCGTACATACGATTTTTTTCTGTATGAATTGAGGAGATTAAAACATATATAAATACACACAAATTAATCATGAGGAAGATAAACGTACTTTCAGCTGATTCAAAACTGTTAAAATGAACAGGTTGCACATAATTAACTAAGGCCGAAATCTCCGCCCCAGCTTCTGTTTCTTTAGCACTGGTCGCTTTATCAGGCGCAGGCACTTTGTCACCCATCCTTAATTTTATATCCTCTACGTTTGACTCATCTTCTTCCGTACTCGATTCTTCTTCGTCATCTGAAAGTCAACAAAAATTTCAAACTCTGTGTTTCTGCTTCAATTATTTCCACATACTCTTTGGAATACCAACCATCCTCGTCTTGAGCACTATCTTTGCTGCCCTGTCTTTGTTGTAACATCGGAGGATGCGAGATATCCCCATTTCCCATCTGTTGATCATTATTATCACTTTCAGTATTAAGGACAACATCTGGAGGTGGACCATTTTCTCCTTCAACCGTTTGATTCGTCACTCCGTTGTCTTCGTTCTCTTGAACACCCTCCTCAGACTCCGCCGGTTGCGTCGCCTGCTTTTTTTTATGTTTTTTATGATGATGATGATGCTTCTTCTTGTTCTTGATTATGATCTTACGTTTCAATAAATTTGGAGGCGGTAACTCTTGACCAGGTTCTAACTAAATAATAAATTTCATATGTTAACTTCAGTGTTTAGAACAGCATTGACCATGGCAGTATTGAAAAAGTACCTTATGAGATTCTAAAGGTGCGTCAAGCAACATTTCACCGAACAGATCTCTGCAATACTGAGCTATTTTAGCTTGCTGTCTAGGATTACAGTGATTCTCGAAGCTAAGAATTACAGGATACTCTGATGTCTTGAAAGCACTCTCAGCAATCGCTTCAATTACATCTCGTGCATAGATTTCAGGTACAAATGTATATCTAGAAGAAACATATTTTCCATGCAACAATCGTGACACCTCGATTTGTATGTACTGAATTAAAGAATTTTCTTAATTAGTAGTACCCATGAACAATGACAGGCTCATCAAATTTTCCGTTCCAAAAATCCAATTCTACACATCGGCAACCGGCAAGCAGACATTGACGATATATTTCCACAGAACTCTTTCCAGTCAGTTGATGTCCTATAAGTGTATAACAAAACACTTGACCTGGTTGAGATACTCTTCGCACAAATACAGGATAAAATAAAAGAACTACGAACCTGTTAAGTATGTATTGTGACTAGAATTTATAAAGTAATGCGCAAGGGGATGTTCCATATCATCTGATAATTCAAGTTTTGATACAGCAACGATCGGATTATCCTCGCTCATCAAATACCTCAGGAAACCATCGAAACTGAGCTGGCCCCGATTCGCATTACATTTATTTGGTTCATATTGACTTATAATATCTTTTGCCCGCGCCTCGTTCGCGTAAGGATATAATATTTCATTCAGACGCGGATCACGTTGCGTTTTGTTTAAAAAGTCCACAAACTGCGACACGGACATTAATCTACGTTTGTTATTGCCTACAATGCTTTCGAAAACCTTCTCAACGTCTGATCGTTGAGTAAGAGACTTATAAAAGTTGAAGAAATCTTCGAATTGAAACTTTTGTAACGATATTACGTCGTTCTGAAAATAGAAAAGAATATGAGCTTCACTATTTGTAATATCGTATTTGCATTATAGGCGACCATCTTCTTACAGAATGTTACACTTACTTTTCCGGATGGAAAACCGGAAATATCGAGTGCCTTCTCGACACGCTTTCGATCTTCTTTATTTTGTGCAAACATTTTTATTATGCTGAAACGACAATATACAATGTATACACATTTCCGTATATATTTATATTAATTTTGACACACACACACGCGCGCGCACACGCACACGTACACGTAGAGACACGCACGCACGCATATACACATTGTGCTCACTTCTTTGCAGGGAGTTTTCCCAATTTATCGGCTGTTAGTGTAAGTTTGGTGTGTGCTTTCTGCAAGAACATTGTTGTGCTGGTGTTGAGCAGAGTTAAATTATACGCAAGCTGGAAAATTTGCTCTGTCCAGTGTTGAGCGATCTCCGCGCGTGTCGTACAAAAGTTAATAAAATTCATGTTGACAAAATCAGATCCATAGCAAATTGTCACTGTCTTTTCCTCTAAAGAGTCTTGGGAGCCCATTGTCACCAGAGATTTCAATTTAGGGTCCTGAAAACCAGTCCTTTGTTCTCATAAACTCTTTCAAAAGCAAAATAATTTTGAAGTTATAATGCAACAGCCCCGAGTAAGTTTTAATGTTTTAAATTAGTTTATATGCTTTGTGTCAACAACAATAGCTCACATCACAATAAGCTGTCAATGCAATGTGAAACTATGTGGAAAGCTCCTTTATAAACTGCATATTGATTTATAGGAAAATGGAACAGACAACGGATTTGCTTTCTCTCCTATACAACTATGATTATTTCCATTTAGTACAAAGATAGGTGTGACTGAAAAAGAATGAACTACATTGAGGACACAAAGTAGGTAATATTCTATTTATAGAGTTATCAATAATTATCATATGGTGGTGCTGTGCGTTATTAGCATCCACACAAAAGCATAATATAATTATAAAATTCAAAACTCCTTTGATTTTGAACATTTTCATTTAGTGCAAATGGACCGACAAAATTAAGGAAACGCTAATTTCCCTTAGAAACAATACAAAACATAATACACTTGTTTAATACCTTTGGTACTTTGGCATATTTTCCAGTTCGAGTATCCCTTATTATAGCAATATCCAACATTTCCATTTCATTGTGTTGATCCACCCAGTGCAAATAAAATCCAAACTTATCAACCCTCAGTGTCACTGGAGTGGCTATACCAGAGTCCTAAATGAAAATACAAATGAATATAAGCACTGTACACATGTAATCATACATACTTGTCTTTTGAATTTCACACAAAACAAATACCTCGTCCCACTTGACAAACTTTTCTCCATCTTGTAACTGCTGGGAGACCTCCACCGGTCTAAATTGCAAGACACTACCTGCTGTCTTGGTATTCGCCATCCTGTCTGTAGGATAATACAAGCAGACTCGAACAGACAACTCAGCTTCTTAGCACAGGCACGGTGGGAAAAGAACAAGCGATTCAGGCTGCTTATGCCAGTGACAAAGGTAAGAAGCAAGTTGAAAACCAGAATGCGGACGACGACGAGAATGACGATGACTGTAACGAAAAGTACGTCGATGACAGCAGCAATCGAGAATGGAAGGATGACAACGGCACCAGCAACGACGACAGCGGCGGTGAAGATGGTAGACACAGTGGCAATGACGACGACGACGACGACGACGTCGACGACGACGACGACGACGACAACGACGGCGGCGGCGGCGACGTCGACGTAAGCCTCATTGAGAACCTTTCAAGCATTAGGCGCACCTCGTGAACCACCTTACCTTGACAGGTGCTGTTGTTCAGTCATCCGTGATGAAAAACGCGAGTGTATCTCGACGACGACGTCGTCGTCGCCGCCGTCGCCGCGATATTCTGACGGATACCGTCTCGCGTGTACCGACAAAAGATCAACAGTTCTTTCGGTGAACATCGACGTCGATGTCAGTAGCAATAATCTTGGCTTCGAAAAGAAAACAATAGTCACGGGACTCTCAGACTACTGTCAACCAATCTTAGTTGGAAAGATTAAGAAGAATGAGAACGATTCAATAACACGTTCAGGTTTGTCGTTACGCGACAAGAAGGAATACACGCAATTAATATGCACCGCGAAAGTTTCGTAGTCGCGAGCCACTCGCGCACTCACTTTTTGGTCCAGAAAAGCATCCTTCCGCGCGCCCTACCGAACACGATCCAAGCAGATCCGAGCACCGCCACCCGTCAACCCGTCATCCGTCACCCGTGTTACCCTCGTCGCCAGGAGGCGCTCACATTCTGGCATAAACCCGCCAACCGATAATGCTAGAACGCACCACACGTGCGCCTCGTCGCGCTCAAATTAATTTGAACGCGACGAACCCTGATATTCAATGAATATCCGCCGCTTAACGATCTTCTATTTTGATCGTACCGTTTCATAGCTAATATTTTTGCTTCTTTCCTGTTAATCGACCTCATTAACGATTGATATTACACCTTGATCTTTTTCATTTGCAACGGCACATCTTAACTCGAGGTTTAATGCAAATAAAAAGTTTCACTTCCCGCATATTTTACGTGTCTGCCACGTATTTCAATAATCTTTGGAATGTGTGATATGTCCAAAAACACGTTGCATAATCTCAAAGAAAGCGAATGTTCATATAAGCGATCGTTGGTAATTTACGCTAAATAATTCTGAATTTGATCGTGTTATTTTATTATCTTCTATTTTTGAACTTAGCTAAAAATAAATATACACCCTTCACGCAGAAAAAACTAATCAGCTGCATCGACTTCATTACATCGATCCAATCTTGTTGCTCCGCGCCCATTAAACTCAAGTCAATTTGATTTAACGCTCGGTGAATAAACGACACATTAAGTACTTTACTACACTCCAACGGTATCATGATATTGTCGGTATTATTGAGAAAGTTGTATCATGCTTTTATATGGTAAAGGAATTGATATTAAGATAATGTTGAACAATTGTTGTCATGTTGTTTAAACATTTATAACTACAGAATTGAGATTTGTTTTACGCATTCATAGCTTATAATACGAGTATGTAATTACAATTGAATTGACATAGAAGCCTCTACAATCTTATGAAAGTCTTATAGTTAAGAAATATCAGTCCTTAGAGAATATTATGATACAAATTGAAAGTAAATGTGACTGTATAGCTTGTATATATATATAGCTTAACAAAGTTCTATTTGGTATGAATGACATAAAATAAATATTAAATGATCCAGTATGACTGATCACAGTAAACCACAAAAAAGTATAAAAGTTAAATATTAATGCTAATATTATTACAGGTATTATAATTCCACCAAATCTGCATCATTTCTATTGATTGGATCTCCTTTTAATAATGAGATAATCATGCTGAAAAGTGGAAAGAAATCAGAGTAATCACTTAGTTTTAATTTTTGTAAGAAAACTATATGAAATACACTTACCAGTAAAGGTAAATAAAAAAGAATACAAGATAATATCCAAGATGGATCATACAATCTCTTGTATGCCTCTTTAATTGTCCACAATTATGAATTTCTGTAGGATCATAAACTCCCATATTGCCCCTAGGTACTCCAAAGTATTCATAGAATAACCATACCGTCATTGGTAAGTTTACCACAAACAACACAAATTGCCCATGTGTTAACAACAAAAATTCTAAAAATGCATGTGCTTTAAGTTTTGGTCCCACCCACTGTAAAATATTATGGAGTCAAAATAACTATTAAATAGTTTACATATAACTTATGTATTATTGGATGACAATATAACAAAGACAATAAAATTACCATATTTAACTTTGAACAGCACTGCCATGCATTTAAGTAGTCACATTCTAAGTCTGCTAAAGTTATGACCTGCATCATTGTAATAAGGAAAGTAATTGCATGTATATTGTGAGTATAATAAATGAAAAAATATACTCATGAAACTTTGAAATTAAATATGGCGCCATTACAGTTACTCAGTTGTATGAAAACAAACGGAATATTCCTAAAATCCCTAGATTCCATTTTTTTTCTACGATACATGTAAAATTCGAGAATCAAGTCACAGAATTATATAAATCAATGGAAACAGCTGCATAGAAGCCAGTTTTATTGCAAAATGTGAAAAGGATACGAAATATACCAGAACAAAAAGTACTGAAAAGGTATTGATTAAAGCTAGTACGAACAGTAGCGGCTCGGATAATAGACCCATTCTGATGAACTATCCGTATGAGTGGATGTCGAATTGTATTGGAATCAAATCTGATAATTCATAGGTATTTCCGTTCTGTATCAGTTCACTCCAAATGTTTTTCACGTGAAAATTTCAATAAACCTAGGAGAAAACTGAAATGACCGATTGTCAAAATCAACGAAATGAACAACTCACGGCGCTACCAACTATCAAGGCTGCTTGCCCAAGTTATGACTCCGTAAAGCAGTTTACATCATCTTGTAAATTAAATATCCCTAGTTATCTTTGTTGACATTTAAACAGAAAAAGTGACTAATGTTTGCATGTATGTAGGTATATGCCGCAGGATCGAAACGGCGATGTATTTATATCAATTTATATGAAGCATGAAGTTTACATGATTAAAGTGAACATTGACGAAATGTCCACTTAGCATACTAAGCTTTGTGTTTTATCTACAGGTATAATAAATTGTACATGTACATATGATCCTTTCCAGAAATAATAAAAGGTACAGAACAGAATAGAAGGTATATAATAGACTGTGAATAAAAAATCTACAACTCGCACATAATTATTAAATGCACCAACACGTATGATAATGAAACACATCCTGATTACAGAAATGTTTCGAGATACTCCAAAGATTGTTATAGAAGATGGATCTTCTCCATCTGCTTCATATATTATGTACATTAGGATGGAGGACTTACTAGAAAAACTGAAATTATTAAATTATGATACAGAGTTTTTACCAGAGTTCAAAATAAAAGCTATAAATAGGTAGATACAACAATCATACATAAAAATTCTAGTTCTTCATGTTGTACAAGTTTACTATACAACCATGTATGCTTAATGTACAGGAATTATTTTGTTACACAAACAAACCCAGGCGAACAGTTTTATACTTTTACATCATTAGCTGCATGGTTAATTAGAAAAGCTGGTAAAAATTTTGAATCACCACAAGAATCAGATGATCCTAACTCTACGATAGCTTTAATATTAGATCATTTGAGGGACATTAATGTATCAATAGAATTTCCACCTAATAAACTCAAGCAAGGCAGTGGAGATCATGCTATTTATGTTTTGGATAACTTAGCAGATGAAGCATTGAAAATACAAAAATTTCAGTGGAAGAAGTATGCATTTCAAAATACGTTAGTCAAGGTTTTAAAATTTTATATTAACAGTTTATGTGGATTAACACTTTTAGGGTAGAAATACCACCTGATGAGCCAAACAATGAACCGGATATAGAAGATGATGATGCAGAGTTGATATTAGAAAAAGTAGAGGAAGAAATGATGGCTGAGTATGACGAAGAGGATGAAGATATTTTGCATGTTGATGATATTACAAAACATTATGGGCAAAATTTTGTGAGTAAAGGTTCTATGCATCAGTTTAGAAAATATAGAAGTTATATAATGAAATACTTCCCAATTTTTTCTAGAGTGAAACACAAAAACCTGATGATATTTTGGAATCTAAAACAAATAGGGAAGAATGGCAGTTAGAATTGGAAAGAGTTCTACCTCAACTGAAAGTAACCGTTAAGACAGGTACACATTGTATAGTAAAAATTGTAAAAGAAAACTGGTAAAGTACAGTTGAAAACACAAAAATTCATTTCAGATTCAAGAGATTGGAGGTCTCACATAGATCAGATGAAACAACTTCATACAAATATAGCTACAAACCTTCCTGGAACTAAGGGTCAATTGGATAAATTACACACTGATTTATCAAATACATTAGATAAAATAAAAACAAGAGAATCATATTTAAATAAACAACTTGAGCCAGCTCTGAAAGAGTATCAAACACTGCAAGAAGAATTGTCGAAAATTAAAGAACAATATCGAGATGTTAGCGGTGGTGTAACTGAAAGAACAAGAATCTTTAATAAATTATCAGAAGAATTAGAACATGTTAAAAAGGAAATGGATGAAAGAGGATCGAGTATGACAGATGGAAGTAAGTATCTCATGTTGTATATACCATAAATAAAACACAGTACATATGTAGATATATTAATTGCAATTAATTACTTATAGCTCCGCTCATAAATATAAAAAAGACAATTACTAAAGTGAAAAGTGAAATCTCTGAAATGAACGTACGAATCGGCGTATTAGAGTACAGTCTGATGTGTGCGAGAATACGAGATCGTACACAACTGCAGGAAGACATGAACAGTACAAACGGCATCGCGATAACTTGAGTCTGTTTTTAATTACCGTTCGTATCGCAGAGTTAACGATAAATATCAATTAAGATATTAATTTGTACGGAGATTTATCGTTGCCTCTGTTTCGCTATCTTTGTATACGTTTTGTGCTCAGTTTGTGTGTATTACGAGTAAGAATAACTGTAAATAAGGGTCCAATGAAGCATTTAACACTTGCGTCGTCTGTGTAACATTTGTATGCACTAACGAACACTTAATTTCCAAAAACAGACTGTTCAATTGTCTAATATTTTTCACCAACAAAATCGTTACGAATAAAACTATCCACTATCAAAAGGACTTCAGCGATATTTTTTTTGTACGATGTTTCCCGCGAGCTCACGTTTGCGTATTCCTAAAAATAAAGTCCCGATCGTTGCACTCACTAATGACGCGTCGTCATTACGTGAAATGCCCTCCTCAAAGGCTCATTCAAACGAAGGGTACTTTAATTTTCATTCACAGTGCTTTCTTCCTTGCTTTAGTACATTCTGTTTAGAGACGCTGACGAGATCAACTATTTGTTTGATTAATTTTTAATTCATCGGGCGCGTTTTTTGCATTCATGGCAATTAATTTAAATTCCCAAAAGGTCAACGATGCTCATAACAAGTACAAAGTCTTTTATTCGGCGAATTTACGCAGGTATAAGTATAACATTAGCAATTCAATGAACGACGAAACATTAACGGAATTACAGGTTTATCGGGCTGCTTGTTTTCATTTCTTAATCGCACATGATGATAAGTTTCAGCAAATATTTGTGTACAGGGTGTTACAGAAAAAAAGAGGAAGTACTGTATATCTTTATGATGATGTAACGACGGCCTCAATATATGACTTATTCTACAATCATGAGTAACTTTGTGCATGGTTCAAAATTGCGTGTACAGCCCATGATCAAGGACGTCTCCACTCAAACTGGTGTTTTTTGGTGCCGTTTCAAAAATAATTAATTAAGATGAACGTGTACGAAGTATAGGAGAATATTTGACGATGAACTGACAACTCGAATTGACGAAGGGGAAAGGCTGAATCCGCACGCATTAACGACGCCGTTGCCTCTGCTGCTCATTGATCCCTCCTCTTCGTGCAATTTCTCCGCCAGCCTTGCTTTAGCAGGTCGCGGAGGTTCGCCCAGGCCAGTACGTCGTGTAATCTTTCGCGTACATGTTAACATTGGATGCGGACTACCTCGACCCACTGTATTTTATAACTCTGTCGATCTACGGTCAGCGGTAAGCGTACGACGCCGGCGAAGAACCGTAAACGGGAGCCCCTCAGATGAGAATCATCTAACCAGCAATCAGGTTTGTAAGAAGAACGGCGATACGACCCGATTTACGCGCGGCAACTTCGATCACCCCGAGGGTTTCCACCTCGATTGGTGCCTATACGCGCGTTCCTAATTTTTCTTAACAAAATTAACCACAGACGATCGATCTATAACGTGCGTTTCTGTGATCGAATAGTTCGTGACCAATTAATAAAAAACGTCCACGAACGGAAAATTACATAAAGTAGAATTTCGATCGCGTACACGCATCTAATGTAAAATGGTATTGAAGAGTCATTGACTTCACCTCTATCTCCTCGAACGGGATGCACTTTCTTTCCAGTTTGAAAGATTCCTGCGTGTGTTTATGGGGTATACATGTCAACCTTCCCGCGACTTTCACCGATGTTGCTACGCGTATATATTTCTATGGGGATTCGTTTTGGTTTAATACCGTTATACGTAATACAAATTTTCACCTTTTTTGTTTCGATACAATAACCGTTCAACATGATCGAATATTATTGGCAAGGAAGTTAATTTGCTTTTAAATGAAATTGAAATGATTAAAATTGCATATAATAGTGTACAGATAAGAGTAAATAGATGACACATTCGCTTTTGTCATAAATTCGACGTAAACGATTAATCATTATGAGATGCATAGAGAATCGATGAGATCATCAGTATCGCGTGTCTTCCTTTTTTTCCATCCTGTGTCACACCATATCCAGTCGAAAACGCGTAAGGTTTCATTGGAGTCAGTTGACTTCGTTTAGTTTCGAATTCGCGGGTCTATGAACCCGTAACGATCGATGAAAAATATACATGTATCTAAATACATGTACGTACATTGTAGTATATAGACTTAATAGTCTTTTCATTGTAACGATAAAAATGTGATTTCGAAAATATAGCGTCGCTCGCGCCATTTTTATCTTCGTTTCGCACATTAGTTAACTGTAAAAAGAGATTCTGTACTTTGTTCCTGTCGCGATAACTATTTTTCCGGTTCATAATATATGGAATTTTTCTCTCTCTCCCTCTCCCTCTCTCTCTTTCTCTCTCTCCCTGTCTTCCCTCTCTTTTTGCACGACTAGATTTTATTTCTAATCGTGAAACACAAAACGTACAATGAACTACTAAAGGGAACTAAGTAAGCAGATAAGTTATCGTGTATGAAATGAGTAATTCTTCAAAGGTTCTTGAATTTCAGTTAAAGGTCACTTACACCTTAACAAATAGTTCGTATGCGTATAACATGTTATACCTATCGCCACTGACAAGGCTTCCGATGTGTTTTGTATATTCAATAATACCTTGTGTCTTTGGACCCGCGATAAAGAACTAATCTATACAAATCTGCAAATCTACTCGGGATTTGGTATTAAAATGAAATCTGGTATCGATGATGATATCGCGCGCACGCGCGTTTATTTTGTGTGCGATACAAGCTACCGTGTTTGACGTGATCAAAAACATAAAGAACAAAACAAGGGCATCTGAATGTATCGTTTCAGATTCGAAGATACAATCAGATAGTACTTCGACATCATAAAAAAAAAAAAATTAATAATCAAAAAGTTACGGAAATTATAAATTACTATACGATCGTCCTTCGCGGATACTGATTCGAAACGATTACATATTATCTATTTATTGGCACGATTTAAATTTGTAGATCATTAGTTAAAACGCATTGCGTCATGTTTCTCATTTAAGTTGTCATTTTAGGAAAACATAGTTCCCCTTTTACTTTTACGACAAATTAGCACACGCTGGTATGTGTCAACTGAACGGTAAATACGAGGTACATACGTAATACTTTGAAAACTTCATGGATGATTCAAAGAATCGCAGAAATTTTAGTCTTTCTTAAATATTTTCCCGAAGGCTTTCTCGATCCAGTGTCATACATTAGTGTATAAGGCTGTTTCCTCTTGGACATATGTATATATATATGTAATTATAATTGCTATTACCAATCAAGACAGATTTAGTAGCAACATGACTCATTCGGAGACATTATAATGCTGATTATTGAATTACAGTAAGTTTTCGAACGTTCGCGGCTTTAGTGCTAAACATGCGCAAATAATATGTCGGCAATTTGTCGATCGCTCGGATCGCTCGGCTTTGGAGTTTGGAGGCCTTTATTCCATTTAAATAGATTGAAATAGATGAACTATTTACTGCAACAAAACATAAATCAGCATAAAAATATTATTTATGATTGTTTCCCTTATCGTATTTTTAATATAATTATCTGTGATATACGTATGTATAGCTTCAAAGAGATAAATGTTGTAATAATATCTCGAATTTTGTTTTGAATGTGTTTGTGCACCTACGTGTTATTTGTAACTTGTACACATATTTAATTGTGAATCGGTGTGTGTTACTGGTTATGTGGAGAAAAATGGATACGTGATACGTGTTTAAATTTCTAGTGTTCACTTGTCCACTAATGTAATTCCACACCCGTTGCTTTTGTTCATACTGCACTCAACTATGTATAAGCATCAATACTGCAGAGTGTAAACAGAATAAGTGTAAAACAGGGCAAATAATATATCGTAAAATACATAACATTGATAGAAAAACAGTGGCATTTGCACACAATTATATTGAATTGAATCGTCCAAAGAAGTAACTGAAGACAGGATTAAGTATGAACACGTACCATTAGTATGTGATGTTATTAAGCTTAATCATATATATACATGACAATGGAGACAACCAACATTTCAAAGTATTATTTTTATTTTTTTCAGGTCATAGTTATCAAATAAGATGATACAAGCTTCCAAGTCAACTATTATTATACTCATAATAGGCCTACTGATTGCTATATTTGGATTAACAGTAGGAATACTTTGGTCCTTGATTTATTCAACAATTATACAATCAGTAAGCATAAAAGTGATATTTTATAACAGGAAACAGTATTTGTTAAGTATTTCACTAAGTATTGTATTCTTTTAGCAATTGGCTTTAACACCAACATCTTCAAATTATGAACTATGGAAAGAAACACCGATTCCTATGTATTTAAAATTTTATATGTTTAATCTAACTAATCCTGAAGCATTTACTTCACCAGATGGAACCAAACCACACTTTGAGGAAATGGGTCCTTATGTATTTAGGTATTAAATTTCTATTAAACCTTATGATCTGTATTATTTCTGATATTAACTGTGCATCTTTATCACAGGGAAATTGATTATAAAGTACAACAAGACTGGAATGAAAATAATACAATAACATATCAAAGAAAAAGGGTATGGCACTTTGATGAGTCTTTGTCGGCAGGTAGTTTGTCTGATAATGTCACTAATATAAACCCTGTGACAGCTGTATGTATTTCTTAGAACTGCTGTATTATATAAACATAAATTGACATGTTAATACAATGTATCTTTTTTTAATCATTCTTTGCAGAGTATTGCATACATGCTACGATTTAAAGATAACTTTCTGCGAGATATAGCTGACAGAATTATGCGTATAATAGGACAAAAGTTAGTGATCACCAAGAGTGTTAACGAATTTCTCTTTGAAGGCTATAACGACACTATGTTAAAAGTTGCTCAAAAATTGAACCTTACAAGGATGCCAATGACTAAATTTGCTTGGTTCTTTGGGGTGAGTTTGGGTTCAGTGTGGCTATGTAATAGAAAACATCAGAGGGTTTCAAATTCCTTTAATAAAACTGTTTAATAGTACTCTAACATCCCTAGAGAAATGATTCAGCATCCTATGATGGAACATTCAATATGCACACGGGTGTAACCGATATGCGTGAATTAGGAATAGTCAAGGAATGGAATTATAATAACCATGTGAGTTACTATCCTGGAGAATGTGGAACAGTAAGAGGAACTAATGGAGATTTGTGGCCTCCATTACCAGACAACGAAACTGTTTCTTTTTTTGTATCTGATATTTGCACGTAAGCATAATTTTCCATTAGAAATTAAGAAAATTAAAAAGTATATGATTTATAATGTTTTTCGTGTTTGACAATCGTGTTAACAGAAGCTTGACTGCAAAATATTCAAATACGACAGAACACGAAGGATTATCGGGTGTTACATTCACTATCAACGAGGCCACTTTAGATAATGGCACGAAAGTACCATCGCGAAAGTGTTACTATGAGGAAGAATCCATACCCTCTGGAGCCCTAAATATTTCGTCGTGCAAGTGGGGTGCGCCAGCTTTCATTAGTTTTCCGCACTTCTATTTAGGAGATCCAAGTTATAGCGCAAATATCATAGGAATGAAACCTCAGAAAAATAAGCACGAACTCTCAATATCCTTAGAACCTGTAACTATCTCAAAATAACAGAAGAAAAACAATTCAATTATTTACATTTTACAACTATTGTTATTTTTATAGAAAACCGGTGTTCCATTGAAAGTCAATGCGAAATTGCAATTGAATCTGCTGATTGACAGGGATGAAAAGATAAAGTAAGTTTCTTTTTTATGAATAAAAAAAATTTTCAGCACTTCCTCAAGTAAATTTTAACTTGACGAGCACAATTTTCTTTTCAGGATGTTCAAGAACCTCACTAAGACGTTTGTACCAATGCTGTGGTTCACGCAGGAAGCTACCCTAACTTCCGATTATGCTGGTACAGTCAAGTTTATCATAATTTTAGAGTCGTTAGGTAGCGTGACTTTCTTCGGTATCGGTGCTATTGGTATTATAGTTATGTTTGTCGGTATTTTTGTGCTCGTTCGAAACAACTTTAGAGGCGAAGAGAATCAAGTTTTATTAACACGCTCTATGAACGGCGATAGTGGTATTATCGATGGATAATCATCTGTATTTCTGCCTACAAAATTTTCAATTCCCGTTGCAATTAGAGTATCGCAGGACAGCACATCCTTCGAATTGTTTGTAAATGTGCTTTCTGAAATAGTTTTATGATTTAAATGGTAATCAAGTGCCTCATCGTTTAAACACAAAAACGAATGCCGGAAATGATAAAAAATAAAAACCTCAAAAAGACCGTGTATCTTAACGTTGTTGTATATACATATTATTAACACACGTCTTTTTTAAACAAAAAATAGAAATTTATTCTCAATCTCTTTCAAACTATTTTTTTAGAAACTCAAAGCGGTGTATACCACGGATTACAGAAAACCGTGTAAAGTATTAGAACCGCGTTAATTAGTTTCGAGTCCGAATTCACGTAAATCGTGTAGATGAAATTGTAGAATTTACGATATTGTTATTGCTGTGATAACTAGAAATTTCTTCCACTGTAAATACAGAAAAGTATATTAACAATAAAAAAACCTTAATTTTGTTACAACTCCTTCGTTACGAATAAATTGTGCCTTTCCCCAGATCTTCTATGGGAAGGGTCTCCTACCACTTGATTTCGGAAGTTATCGACATTTATGCTAGATTAACCATTCGGTTTAACATGTATTTCAGTACTTAAAACAAATTTACCAAGTGATAGGAGGCTTATCCCCTATGCCGCTTTTTCCTCTAATGAAAGCCGAGTTTACTTGTCAGTGTACAATGTTTATACAGTTGGAAGACTGAAGCCATTTAAGCCAACTCAAGAACAAATGAAACTTATGTTAACTGATATACATATGTACATTTGAATATACAAGGTGATCCTCTCGCTGCACAAATCAAAGGTTGTGCCGCTTTAAGGAACCGACGCGCGTGTGTGTAGCCCCGGGACGTCATCAACAGTGAGAATTGGTTGACAAATTACACATTACCCGCATTACACGTACTGACGCGACGGTTCTTTAGAGTATATGTATTTAGTTTAGCTACTGGAGACCCTTCTACGAGTTTACAGTAACTTTTCCGTATGTCAAAGCAAGGGATATCAAGAAGAAGTTAGAACCTTTTCTTATTGTATACAACGGTATCGAGAAGATTAAAAGAGTAGAATATTCAAAGACAAAAGGAAATCAACGCGTGTATTATTGTAGGAAATTGAATAGAAAGCGAAGTTCTGCCAGAGAATATTAGTTGCTGCTATTAACTATAGAAAATGTAGAATTAGAAAAACTTATTTCTAAAGATGTTGATTGCTGAACGGTGTAGAAGGTATACAATTAAAATTAAGGCTTTAACTTATACGTCAACGGGACATTCGAACATCGACCGTTTTGTACTGGTCCTGTGCTTCTTGTGAGCATCGCGTAATAGTATGCTTCCAAACGAAGTGAGGCTCCTTTGATCGCATCAAAAAACAGACAACCGTTGGTTCGCCACGAGGCAATCTCAATGCGAGGCATGAGTACGTACACTCACTGGTCTATGGTATGATGTCTGTACTAACATCTTAACACATCGGGTTGCAATTATTACGGGGCTACATTAATTCATACGTTCCACCGCTAGATGGTCATTGTGTTTGCGGCGGGGCCGGTGGGGTAGCAAATAGCAATGAGCAACGGACTGTCAATAATTACATGCGGTAAACTGTGATAGAATCGAAATTGATGTAGAGGTTACTTTACATCTTATAAGTAATTGTTACGAATATTATTACGCAACTGTTCAATTGATAGTGAAATATACCAGGTAACTTTTAATTAATATAAATAGACGAAACGATCTTTTGGAGTCGTCAACATGACGTCGTTCCTGACGGACGTGCTGATCACGGCGAGTACGTACATATATACAGGCCTCTACATACATAACCCACACAAGATCGAAAGTACAAAATTTCGCGCGAAAATTTTTTCAAATGATACATTTGATTACCTTTATAGTATTCTACCATTTTCTTTCGTGAATAAATCATCCATTTTTTATTTTCACATAAAAACGTACACGTTATGTAAACATTCAAATTTCAATGTACTATTTCGACGATCAGGTAAATTGGAGAAGGTCAACTTAAACGAAAAAATAGGTGAAATACAAAAGGAAATAACAAAGTTGAAGTACGATGTTCAAGATTTTATGGATGATAATTACGTCGAATTTACATCGAAACTTACAAGAGATCAACATTTAGTGTCAAAAGGAGAGAAATTGCTAGAAGAAATGAATCAATTGCAAAAGAGAATAGACGATCAGGTATAAAATTAGTTTTACGAAAAAACATCAAATATGAATTACTTTATGATCGCGATATGTGGTTTTTATTTTAGGTCAAACTCGAATTGTTGGGTTCCACGAAAGAACTAAAGACTCTCTCGCAAGCTCTAAAGGAATCGAACACGATGTTGCAGCTTTATAATCAACTCTTAACTTTACATGAGTGTATAAAATCTATACAAAGTTATAAAGACGGAAAACGTTACGTCGACGCGGCTAAAACGTTATGTCGCATGCAGACGATATTATACAATCCTAAAAGCGATCTTCGTGATCTCGATATTTACACAGCCATAGAGGAAGGATATTTGAATCTCTATACTTCCTTTCTGTCCGACGTATCTTCGTCATTACACGATAGAATCAATTGGACTGGCGTTGAAGATAAAGATGCGAAGACCGTCACGTTGAGTGTAAAGGACGAGTTCGAAGACATGCCAGAATTAATTCAGGGACTGTATCACATTGATAATCTTTCGAATCATTTACATAAATTCGGAATCACCCTCATGGACCATGTAATCAATCCCATCATCAACGACGATTGTTCCGTATACGTCGTCGACGAGAAAATCTTCACCATCGAAATTCTGACTAAGAAAAAACCACCAAGTTATAAGAACGTACTGTACAATCTAGAGTTATTATTCAAATTCCTTCACCAACATTTCAATTTAATTATACACGATGAAGAAACGTTTCTAAAAGGAATACAACCATACTTATTGGACAGACTTTCTGCATCACTAACGACCAATTGTATCTCACGAATCGTTCCAACGTCCAGCACTGATCTGAAAAATTTTACGCCCATTGTTCAAGCGATCTACGATTTTCAGTATTTCTTGGTTGAAATTGGTACCTTTACAAGAAATATATTTCTTGCGTGAGAATTTTCAAGGCATTCAAATTTCTTATACCGTTTCAGGTTTTATAACAGCGGATCAGCTTTTTCTGACTGAGTACACGAAAAATATCGATAAATTATTTATCGAAAGGGTTTGTCAAGATTTGTTGGCAAAGGCACGGAATATCATGAAAAAAGACTTGCATGATTGTATTACGTATGAACCACAGGCAAGTTTTTTTTATAAAAAATTGAATTATTTCTATTATGTAAACAATATTCTCGTATTGATATTTCAGGAGCCGCTCGAATTTTCCGAGGATGCATACGATTACAGTGAAACGAAAATTTATATGAAATTAAGTGACAATACATTTCAACTTCCTAAATGTCAAATAAGGTAAGGAAATCAAATTTCAAATGCATGGTGTTTCAACAGTTATCATCTATAATCAGAGTTTTGATTTAATGTTTGCAAAAATTATTACATGATTTGTATTTTAGTAAGAGTACAAAAGAGACATTGGATTTCGCGAAAAGCATTCTAGATGAAGCATGCAGCAGTTCGGATTCGTGTGCCATTCGATTATTTTACACATGTAGAAATGTTTTCGAAATGTACTCGGGACTGGTACCGGAACATCACCGGAAATTCTTGGAGACGATACCTCAACAAGTTGGTACGATCTTAACATGTACATATTATTTGCATTTTTCCAATTTGTTAACATTATAATTGATCCGCCATACTTTTTTAATTAGCTGTATTTCATAATAATTGCATGTATCTTGCGCATCATTTACTTACACTGGGACACGAGTACAGGGACAAGTTACCAGAGTCTTTACAAAATTATAATCTAACTTTTGCCGACCAAATATTAGTATTAAGAAACGTCGGATCAACGTGCTTTTTGGAACACATGAAGTACCAACGAAATATTATCTTTGATATTCTGAAAGAATCTGGTTAGTACCAACCAGACATTTTTACACAATGATTCAGAGCAGTCATTGGTCAGTTTAATGATACATAATTAAAATTTCTTTAAGGTCTGTCAGCGTTAGGTCAAAGTTCTGAACTGCAGCCTACCACGGAACGTGCACTGAGACAGTGCATCAGGCAACTAGAGTTATTAAAAACGGTTTGGCTAGATGTTTTACCGGTAAATATATACTGCAGAGCTGTGGGTCAGTCTCATTTTCTGATGGTACACGAACAAGCGTTACATACTACATTATCCATGCGCTGTATATTTTTATATATTAATATCATTGTAGGATGCATCATGAATTCTATGGTCGAGGACCTTATAATTAGAGTTGTATCTGTTGAAGACATTCCCGCTGATGTTGCGACTGATTTAGTAACATTATTTAATATGATAGTTAAACGTGCACCAGTAATATTTCCGGTGAGTTTATGTAGAAAGAACTATATAAGTGGATACTCTAAAAATGTTTATTAAACATTGATATATATATCTATATAAACGCATTACAGTTAAAATGTAAGTTACAAAAATTTGGCCTTGGAAGAAATTCCATGAGCTGTCCCTGTAAAATCAAACCGGAATAATTTTATTCCTTCTGAAAAGTATATGAATGAAAATTATGGTGCGTTTCAGGATCCACAGAAGATCCATCAACACGTACGCAAATGGGAAAAGTTTTTAGAACTGATTAAAGTACTAGGTGCTTCTCTGAAAGAAATTGAAGTTAGATGGGGAGGCGGCAAAGGGCCGCTCGCTCGTGAATTTACATCTTCACAAGTTAAACAATTGATTAGAGCGCTGTTTCAAAATACTGAGCGCAGATCTAATCTGCTAGCTTCTATAAAATAATATTAAAATTTCTATCTTGGGTAAGGAATGAATTTTATGCATTTATTATTATAATGAATTGTGATCATTATATTAACAGTACGATTGATATAAAAAATAACGATGTTATTAAGATTTATAATGTTATACTGTTAATACATTAGGATTCCTTTTACTTACGAGTTTTTTTTACCTTCTATTCAAGAATTTCGATTGCAATACTTACGTTGAAGTTCCGCGTATCATTAAAGGTCGCATGTCCAAATAATTATGTTTAACAGAAATATTAAGGAATTATCATTAAAGATGGCTCATAAATCCAGAAATGTTTGTCCAACAACATAAATTTTGAATAGCATTGTGATAGTTACTCACGTTCTGTACTTATTGCGGAAAAGATCTTCAGAACTTTTTCTACTGATTGAAGAAAGAAACCAGTAAGTAGCTCAAACTTTAAGAAAGTAGACAAGCAGACAGGCAGGCAGGGTGGCGGGCAGTAGTGAGAGCAAATCATTTAATAGATTTCCAATTCCATATCATTTACAGCAATGGCAAACAATATTACCATAATTTCATTAATTTTTTTTCATTCGAGTATCCACAGTGACAAATGCTCAAAATTTCCAAATGCAATACTATCTCTGCACATATATTTCAAGGCCATACTTTTAGATCATATGCAGCGAATTAATTTTGCAGCTCTTTAATCCTGTTTTGACGTATAAAAATCCTTAAGGCAAAGCTGCACAATTAAGTATATATACGAGCAGTAGTGTGCATTTGGCTAAAATTGCGCAAATTCTCTTTGCTTTACCTCACCTCATTAAACGTTAAGTACATCTATATAGATGATGTTAAAAGTATCGACCATTATATTAGAACCCCTTTAAAGCATATGAAATGTCCAAAGAAAAAAGAAGAAACGGAAAGGGCTAAAAGTTACAGAGGAAACTTATCACGTACTTTCTTCTCTAAAAATAAAAAGAAACTTAAAAGGAGTATAAAAAAACATACGTATAAAAGTCTTATTAAAGATTACAGAATACATGTATGTGCTATTCTCTTCCAATTTAAAGAATGCAAAACTATAAAGTCACTTGAGACTAAGATCATATATGGCTTGCTGATTCAAATCCTTTTGATAATTTGTTTCATCTTTCTTTCATTCATTGTATATAAAGTTTGTAATAACACGTCTCTATGATTAATGAGTAATGTTTCTGAAAATGATTACAAACTGTGGAACTAAAATTATACTATATAAATGGTATTGCACAACTTAATTCTGCAATGGTAGTTCTTGTCTATATACAGGTCGCTGCGTAGATTGGATAGAAATGTAGTCATCAGGGCGGGTAGCTGATTGGCCCGCAGTTCAGATTGGCAATGCAGTGTAGATCTTTTATGTGCATTCATGAAGATGACGATGACGATGACTGCGAACATGGAAGTGCAAAACAGGATGTCACATTACTTTCGCCTTTATCTGGCGGATAACTCTCATTTATTGAGAGTCTACTTATAATTGCATAATACATCTGTACATGCAACAAATGTTGTTCAGCATAAATTGCTGACTCTAGTGTCATGCAATAAATGTTTTTTTTCTATGTGTGTATACTTTGCACACTTATCATCATAGGTCCGAGTGAATATAAAAACTAAGACATTTGTATATGTATATTAAATCACTTTTTAAGGAAATTCCTTAATGTAATTTTCTATTTTTATGTATCAGCTTTCAATATTTATCTGCCAAACAATATCAAATGAATGGATTACTTATTCCAGGCTCAAAACCTTTGTACTTTTGATCTAAAGTTCATTTTGTTTTGAAAAACTATATTCAGGTAACTCTCAAAGACATTTGTAGTCTTAATCAATATTAATAAAGGAAACATTATTCAATGCTTGTTACCAATAATACAAGCAAACAAATCACTGCTTTTGTGTACCTCTGGTCTTTGTTTGCAGAGTGGAAACAGTTTCACAGAGCTCGTGTAAGTGTAGCATAATATATAATCATTTTACAAGGACTGGTATCATTAGTACCTGCCACGACCAGCCGGAGAACGACTTCGATACCTCGATGTGCCTGTGCCTTTGTTGGTATAATAATCAGGATTGGTATCCCCGCTATTATAGACATCTTGTGCATATCCATCTCGGGTAACATACCCACTGGCACGATTGGCCATATAATCTTCGCCGTAGTAGTCTCTACCTCTACTTCCACCACCCTTGCCTGCATAGTAACTTCCATAATCTGCATACGTATTATTGCCTCTGTAACCGAGAGCAGTGGAGACAGCAGACCCATAGCCCCTACTAGCGGCACCTCGATTTCCTCTAAATCCTCCCATACCACCCCTGCCTCCACCACGACCTCTAGCTCGTGAAATTTCAACTCTCAACTTGGCACCCATGATCTCTGTGCCATTCATACTGCTACATGCAAGTTCCGCTTCGTTCATGTTTAGGAATTCGATGAAGGCAAACCCCGGTGGGTTGAAGGCAACCCATACTTTATTCAGCTTGCCATACTTTTCAAACTCTGCCTGGAGGTCTTCTTTTTTTATGCTCTCATTTAAGCCGCCGACATAAACGCGCGTGTATCCTTCTGGTGTCATGTTTTTTTACCTGAAAATTAGTGTTAAAAAATTCATAAACAATAATTCATATTAGGATCGGGAATGCAAATAGTCTATGTATGCGACAGTCCTGCTAGTTACTTTGTTATAAAACGATTGAAGGTCCATTTGTACTAGAACGGGTTGAGTGCGGCATAAGGTTTCGACGAACCGACAAAAATATTCTTTTGTGCGCTTTAAGTGAAATAATGTCTACTACCAAGCTCGCCCCGTGTTCGGTTCGTTCTATTAGTATAAACAGACCTTAATACGTTGAGGACAGCAGCAGAATTCATGAAACGGTCAGTGCTGCCGACGTTTGTTATGACCGGATGATTCAATTTTACCGAAGCGTTTATTACCATTGATACTTAATTTTTTAATTTCTAGTCTTTTCACTTGTTGAATATATGTGTTTCTTAAAAAAATAGTAAAATAAGGTGGTGATACACTGGTGGATCACGCCACCTATTTAACCTTTTTTACCAGCCATTCCGCAGTGACCCATCGGTGGATTACCGCATTATTTTATCATTTTTTACGGAAAAAAACATCATTATGCCTCTCCTTCTTCCACATATACATGTTGTTCCTTCCGTGTCAAGCTTCTTTTGTTAGATACTCTGTTGTTTGTTTTGATTTTAGTATTCCTTGTTTTAGAAAAGTCCAAAAGTGTATCTTCTTAGATATTTTTTAAATATGGTACGATTCTCTATTGTTACAACGCTATTATTTTTTTATTTTTACAGAAATAATAAATAAAAAATATTGTAACCTAATATTATAAAACACTAAAATACACATCTATACACAAGAATAAAGTCAGAAAAAATCTGGTCCACATAGCGTTAGTTTGTATCGTTATTCTAAACATTTTGCTTGCGATGACCCACCCATGAATCGTCGTCAGATATGAGCATCTCACGGTGACCCATCGGTGGGTTACATCGGCAAATAAGAGCATCATCCGATGACCCACCGGTGGATCACGCCGTTCTGAACGTGTTAATGTAGCAGCAATATAATAAAATAGGTTTTGTTACTATGGTCTCTATAAATTTGTAAATTAGACGTGGAGACGCAGGAAAATCAAGCACTTGCGCGCCAATCGTTTCGGAAACAGTTATTCTTCCTGGGATGATGTACTTACTTGTGTTTTACCTTCCTTTTAAATGTTCCCTGTTTCGGAGGAAAATATCTGAGAAATTTTCAATGAAAAAAGATATACAGTGCACCGTCACTACGACAGAATCGATAGGTGAGGATCAACCGGGGTTCACACTGCACAGAACTACATCCGACGTCTTGGCGTCTCCAACCCAGACGCCAAATGCTCGTACGGTCTACTCAGACGAAATTATACCGTTTTAAGAGAATATCGTAAAGACTTTTCATACTTGGAAAGAATGCACAGTTAATTATTCAACAATCGTTAACAAAAAAAAACGATGAAAATACTTAAACACAAATCGAAGAGAAAATATTCCAATTTCTCATAATGATCCCTTTTTTAAGAACAATTTATTCGAGCAGACTGTACTTCTCATCGTGTTTATCTTCAGGAGTCGATTTTATCAAAAATAATGCACATGCGATAAGTCGAGTAACGAACGATTTGAATATCTAATAAATACTACTTTATTTACAGTATTTTTTTAATAAATGTGTGCAATAGATTATAATAGTACAAAATTTGTACATATATCGCATCAATTTGATCGTCGGTGGTAATCGATATATTACATGAACATATTGCAGATAGTATACATACAAATTACTTTACGAAAACAAAAAAGAAATAAAAATTCAGAAATTTATTAAGTTAAAAGTATTCCAAGAACAGTAATAGGTTTCATTGGGTTTTTCTCTGTTTTATAATTATATAGTTGTGTTCAACAGGACCGTATAAGTCCGCAACTACAAACGAATTGATAACGAATTTCCTCAAAATTATGTACCCCTATGACAATCAATATTATGGATCCAGATGTATTCGATGTAATGTATGTTTTGTCTATAAATTTTGAATCCTTTTAAAATCCGTAATACGACGCACCATATTGTACAGTTAAATTAGACAGTTCACTGACCGCCGGAAAGTAACATTAAATGTGGCACACAATACAGTTTCGCGAAGATGGCAGTTCAAACGAATGATATTGACATTGTCATTCAGATGATCACTGAATCATTCTAATTAAAACAGACGATTAACTCATTTTGTTGACATGTCATATAGTTATACATCAAATAGAAATTACCTGACCTTAGTAAACGTAACGTATTCAAGCAAATTTGTCAAGACTTCTAACGCCTCTTTTTTCAATGTCGGGATTTTCATCTGATTTAATCAGAATGCAACGATACGATATTCTCATTCAAGAGATAGAAGGTATAGACGACTATCTGGGCCCAACTTTTCGGTAGGTAGATTAAAACCTGATTCAACCCTTTTCGATGTTTTTGTCAAAAAACGCGCTCCCCGAAACAACCCCTTCACGCAGATGCAACCGTTACATTCAGCATATGCGCAATAGAGGGGTTGGAAACGGGGGTTGTGGATCTCTATTGTAAAATAGAGAAACATCGAATCAGGGTTGGACCATGTCAAGGTTGTCAACTAACCAAGTTGGCAATTTACTGTCAAGTATGGTACCAAAACATGAGTACCTATTGTATGAAATAGAATCTACAGATACTAATAGTATAGGCCTGGTTTTCAGGTATTACTATTATTAATAATCACTTTAGGGGCAGAAGATTTTAAAAGAAAAAGAAATATCAATGATATATTGTTGCTATAAACCTTCTCTTTTTTTTTAGAGCTATTTATGATGGCCACGAACATCAAAAGTTTATGGAAAAGCTTGATGAGCGTATCAAAGCTCATGACAAAGACATTGAAAGAATGTGCAACCATCACTATCAAGGTTTTATTGACTCAATAAGGGAGCTCCTGCAAGTCCGTTCTCAAGCACAACAACTCAATGTTAGTTTCCAGATTGAAGTTTGTACAATATGTAGGATTTTGCCATAAGATTTCAAAACTTCTCTTGTATTTATAAAGTTTAAGTGTATATCAATTCAGTAGGTAACAATATTATTCTTTAAATGAATATTGTTACTATGATCCAACAAAAATCTTACCTATGTAAAAACATTTCTTTATGGTCAAAAAAGGGTCCTGAAATTTTATGGCAATATTTATAAGGGATAGACTGTATATAATAAATGAATATGGGCTAACAGAATGTGGTGTGTCCTGTAGGCTGAGATATTGGAGCTGGACAAACGCATCACTGCCACTTCCACCAAAGTTATAGAGAAAGGGGAAGAACTTGTTAGAGCTCGTAAAGTAGAAAGTAATATGGCTGCAGCAGTAGACAGTCTTACCATGTGTCTTCCTGTTTTAGCTGCCTATGCAAAGTTACAGAAACAATTGAAAGACAAACGTTATTATCCAGCATTAAAAACACTGGAGCAACTAGAACATCATGATCTACCAAAAGTAACAAATTATAGATTTTCTTCACAAATTACTCAGCAAATTCCACAGTGAGTAATGTCACAAGATAAAGCAACACTTGTTTTTACAGCAGAATGTAACTAACGAGTAATTTAGACAGAAACATTATGTGACATTAAGTGATTCATAGATTACAATGCTTTTAGACTACGTGAGAATATAAAGGATGCTTCCATGTCTGATTTAAGAGACTTTTTAGAGAATATTAGGAAGTACTCGCCAAAGATTGGCGAAGTTGCTATGAGACATGTAAGTTAATTGCATGTATTTATAAGTAAAGTTTTACATGTTTCATACATTTCTTCAATATTCATGTAGACGCAAGAGCAGTTAACTATCGAAGCTGAAATTATTGGTCGTAAAAAGAAGAAGCCACAGACTAAAACTTCTTTGCCAAATGATGGTGAAGAGGAATTAAGTGCACAAGACCTGATGGATTTCAGTCCAGTATACCGTTGTATGCATATTTATACAGTGCTTCGTGAAGGCGAAACATTTAAAGCATACTACAGGCAACAAAGAAAACAACAGGCTAGACTGGTTTTGCAATCACCTATTAATATGGTCAATATTGTTATGATTACTTACAGACATGATCCTCTTCTATGTCTAACTTTTACTTCCTCTGTTTAGCATGAGAGTATAGTTGGTTATCAAACTTACTTACAAGGCATTATTGGTTTCTTCGTGGTGGAGGACCATATTTTGAATACAGGCAATGGTTTGGCAACAAGGACATACTTAGACGAACTGTGGTCCATGGCCTTGTCCCAGATAGTGAATGCACTACGCACCCATTCTGTAAGTAATAAGCTATTATTACAAATAATAAAATTATGCATAAGAGTATTCTATCGAAATATCGACTTCATAATTCTTTTAGGCATACTGTACGGACGCAACGCTTATTTTAAAAATAAAAAATCTTATAATGTTATTCAACACAACTTTAAGAGTAAGTAAACTGCTGCATTATAAATGAATTATTTACGACGTGAATGTTCCTTATGTGCTCTTTCTTTGTTGTTCAGAATTATGGGTATTCTGTAGGACAGCTTTGGGATTTGCTACAAGAAATTCGAGTACATTATAATGAGGTATTGATGCAACATTGGGTTCAAGTGTTCAGAGATATTTTGGATGAAGATAATTTCTTACCAGTTCAGGTATATTTTTATGTCATATAGTTGATGTATTCCATATACCTTATTGAGTACTTATAATTATTTAGGTCACAACACAAGAAGAATATGATAAGATTCTAGATTTGTTTCCATATCATGACGACGAGTTTGAAAAACCGGAATTCCCAAAAAAGTTTCCGTTCTCAGATATGGTACCGAAAGTGTATCAGCAAGTTAAGGAATTTATCTATGCCTGCTTAAAGTTCTCGGAAGACTTAAATTTCACGCAAACCGAGATAGATGAAATGATTTGCAAATCGACGAATTTATTATTAACAAAAACATTTAGCGGTTGTTTATCTTCCTTATTTCGAAAACCATCACTAGCTCTTTTACAAGTAGTTCAGATTATAATAAACACGGGATACCTTGAAAAGTCAACAAAGTATTTGGAAGAGTTCGTGACTAATATTACAGGGTAAGAATGAAATAAATTACAAGTAAACTATGGATAATTATGGATTTATAGTCATATGTGAATATACGATGATTTTGTATCTATAATACGATTATTACTAATTAACACATAATGTGTTACAACGTTAACGTTCAATTTTTCAGGACGCCACATGAAGGACAACTAAGTTGCATGGGTGTCGAATCAGCTATGTTTAGGGTAGCAAGAGACGACGCTGAGAAACAAATCTGCGATAAATTAACGAATAAGCTAGACGAGTTTTTGGAGTTAGAAAACTATGACTGGAACTTGGCAGAACCTCAAGGACATGCATCGGGCTTTATTACTGATCTAATAGCATTTTTACAAAGTACTTTTACGTGCTTCACCAATTTACCAGTACGTGTTCCACGTGGGCCTAAGAATTTTATGTATCTATTGGGTTTAATTATAAGCGTCTGTTTCTTGTTATTACGTTTTCAGTAGTTTTGTTTAATCTCTTGACGTTCAACTGAAGTTTGTTATGACTTAACGAAACAAGTATTCATTTTCTAGGAGGAAGTTGCTCAGGTTGCCTGCAATGCTGCTTGTTCTCATATAGCAAAGGCTATACTAGCCATATTAATTAGCGAAGATGTGAAACAAATATCTATGGGTGCTCTTCAACAAGTTAACTTAGACACAATACAGTGTGAACGTACGTGTCATTTTTATTCTTTAAATAAGATGTGTACAATATATGGTTACAGAATATTCTTAGCAGTACCGAACCGATTTGAATGTAACTTAGAGAAATACACGTAAACTTCTAGAATTCGCTGCCTCAGAACCTGTGGTTGGTTTGCCAGAAGGAACCTTGCTTCAACATTTCGCACAGTTAAGACAATTACTAGACTTATTTATGAGTTGGGACTGGCCTACTTATTTTCACGACTATGGTCATGAATCAAGTAAATATAATCTGGTAACTCCGAACATGGCTGTACTGTTGTTAGAGAAGTATGTACCACGCTGTGTCATTTGATGTAATATTGATATCATACATTTCAATAATATGTATATTTGCAGATTAAAAGAATCCGATAAAAAGACAGTGTTTGCTGTACTGAAAAAAAGTGAAAGGGATAAAAAGAAACTTTTGGAAACTGTATTGAAACAACTACGCCAATTGGCGCAGACGACGCAACAGTGAATGAAACCGAAGTCAATATGTATATACCTCAAAAGAGATTGTAAATACATCATTTTTAATATATACGCCTCCAAGAATAATTCGTAAAAACTTATTGTTATTACATTAAAAATGGCTATAAAAAAATTTTTCACTGATCAGTCCGCGCATTAAAATGTATTGTCATGGTGTTAAAATAGAAATTCCATGTGATGTTATGACACAAAGAAATACATAATTCATTGTGTTCATGTTAATCCAATATTGTTTTCGATGTTCAATTGCTATCACCTATACAGGTCTCTATTCGTTAATCTCGCGCGATATCAAATTCCAGGCAATTGAATATATAATACATCGCTCAAGTTCCCATACACTTATTACTTTAATCGTTTCCTCCTAAATTGGCATTGTTATATTACATGTAAATGATTTACATATCATACAATAACTGTACAGTAGATAAAGTATGATGTATAAAGTCCCAATTCCTAAGTCTTACAGATGCAATTATCTTTAGAATTAAATATTTTAAAAAAAGAGAGTAACGGAAAGACAATACAATTCCGCAATTCTAACGTTATTCGATTTCTCACATTGATTTAATTATATTGAACGTTCATTATCGGAAATATAAAAGTAAATACATATGTAGATAGGTAATTATATTAAGAATAATAAAATAGATTAAATACAAATCAACAATTCTTGTAAAGTAATACAAAGAGCTTAGTGCTTGATTCATGAATCAATTCGATAAGTATTTTTTTTAATAGAGATAAAACAAATTAATAATATGCATATATAGACCAATTAATGATGCATGTGGCACAATTTCATTGATGACGCATAATGGTCAAGATTAATCAAGATAATCATCAATATTGTCGGGGTCCACATCACCAGGTAGCATAGAATACTTGTTGGAAGCTACGAAGTTCTGAAATAAAAAGGAGCATAAGGTATAATTACTATCAGAAATACTGTTGTATGTCTTTTAACTCACTGGAGCTTGTTCATCCTTTGCCTTTGGCATTCTGCTAGTATCATCTTTTTCTCTGTCTCTTCGGTCTCTGCAAATGCATATGTTAAAAATGTACATACTTACTTTTTTTTAGTATGCATTACAAAACGACAAAAACATTACCTATCTGGAGCACGAGTATCGTTTGATCTTGGAGGACCTCTTGAAGATGGGGCTCCACCACGATCCACACGAGAGGAGGAGGGTGGACCTCTGGAGTCTCCATATTGTTCTGAATCATAAAAATTCATATAATAAATAATTTCAAATATCTCAGTCACATATATATCTATCTTTGTCCCTATCATCGCGACCTTCCTATAAAAATTTCGAAAAATTCTGTAACGTATATAATGTTAGCACGTAGTATAATCTTGTGTATACATTAGAAACATACTCCATTACGTCTGCCCCAAGTACCATCTTTGCCACGTTTTTCTGTATCCCTGTGGGCGAAAAGATTGTTAATAATACATTACATTTAAATATTCTAGTATCATCAATAATTAAATACTCCAATTTACCCTTCATCTCTAGATTTCGATTCAGCATATGACTTAGCAAGACGTTCCTCTATTTCTCTCTCCCTGGCAGTGGTATCAACAGGTTTTGCAGCACCGAATATATTAGTTGATGGAACATGTGCAGGAGCAGACGGAGCGTTTGCAGGAGCAGACGGAACGTTTGCAGGAGCTGACGGAGCGTTTGTAGGAGCTGACGGAACGTTTGCAGGATCTGACGGAGCGTTTTCAGGAGCAGATGGAGCACTTGCAGGAGCAGACGGGGTGTTTGCAGGAGCAGATGGCGCATGTGCAGGAGCCGACGGAGCATGTGGAGGAGCAGACGGTGTATCTTTCGCAGGTTGTTGATCTTCTTTTACAGCAGCCTCAATAGGTTTTGTGCGGGGCTGTAGCTGCAGTTTCGGCCTACTCCTTGATTCGGCTACAATATACAAGTTTTATAGCGAAAATTTCTTATAACATGGTCTCTTAAAATGTGTACTCATATCATAAAAAGAACATTGATCGGATTTTATGTTGAAAACAATACGAATATTAATTACGTTTACTGTCCATAGGAGGTTTTCCTTGTCTACGCTGGCCATCCCGATCATAATCGGAATCGCCATAATTACGACGCGGCCCAAAACTGTTTCCTCTGTCTGCATCTCTGTCTCTACTACCCTTATCGTAGCGAGACCATTCCCTATCTTTCTCATCATCTCTAAAACCGCCTCTGTCTCGAAACGTTGGTCTTCCTCTATCGTTACTTTCGCGCCATGCACCAGGCTTATTATCTTCGGGAGCTATTCGATGAATAAATCAATTTTAGTATTTCCTCTATATTGATAATTATTTCTTCTATACTAATGATATATTTATTATAATACCATCGCGATCATCTCTTCGGTCTCTATTATCGTATCGACTTCGATATGAATCTCCCTCTTGCGTAGCAGTATCTCGTGGACCGCTTCTCCAATCTCCAGATGTACGCTCAGGATCATCATAAGTGTCTCTACGATTATCTCTACCCATTCGTCCGCCACGACGATCATCGTTGACACTATTTGAAACATCGATTCGTACTCTTCTTGTTTTCATGGGCTGTTGGAATGAAAAAATTTGTATATTATCCTTTCATAAGTGTTTGTATAATATTTTTATAGAACTCCAACATCTTAAACTTACTGTATTCGATAAATTAAGGGCATCAATTAAACTCTGACGATCTTCAAACTCAACATACCCGTATCCCCTAAGTTTATTGGAATCTTTTGGCAGACGTATATTAGATATCTGAAAAATGACAATACAAATTAAACTGGTAAATTAGATATCTTAAGTATATGTAAATCCAGAAAACTGACCTTCATGTCTGCAAAGAACTCTGTTAAATACGATTCGTCCACTTCATAAGGCAGATTAGAAAGATACGCAACATAAGGAGGATTGGTGGGTACATCATCATCAACACCGTGAGGATCTCGTGCAGCTCTGGGAGCAGTGGGTAGAACCACTGGTTCCTTGCTGCTTCTTGATGTATAACCTCCTGCCATAAAGTAATAAGTTACTTGCCAAATGACTTTACAAATTATTAATAGTGATATTTAATGTTAAAAGCCTCTATAAAAATAACTTAGATTATTAATGTATGATTTTCAAGAAAATAATATAATTAGATACTAAATATAATTTTTAAGACTCTAAGACTAAAGGATGTTCTTAATTAAATAGCAGATTTTTTGTATTGCTATCTTTTGCAACATAATATATGATTACTAATGTAAATCTATTTCATTTGAAATATAGTGCAACCAAAATATCAAACAAAAATGAGTAAAGTCTTTATTTTATTTTTGACATGGCAAATTCCTAAGTTATGAAAATGAATTTGTTGTCAATTCTTTTTTTTTTTTAATATTTGTAGAAACAAGAAATTTCAATAAACATCTAAATCATTGTTATTCAAAAAAAATTATTGGGCGAAATGTTTATGGATTCGTTTTACCATGGTCATCATCCATTTCATCTGCCCAGCTGCTAAATGGTTTCATTGGCACAGTAGGTGTTGTACTACTATCAGCCAAGTATGACATTAAACCTATAGTCTTGAACTTAATCTTCTTCTTTCCTTTCTTGCCCGCTGGAAATAAACGTACGTGAAAACTGATACCTTTGAAAGAAACCTTTGATACGAGGTTTTACAGTATTGAAAGCATGCTGGATTTAGGAAGTTTGGTTATGTCGCGAAAAAATGGTGAAAAGATATAAATACGAACGATTCTAACGTTGCAAATAGGATTCGATGGGTGGAGGAACAATGGTTGCTTTTGATTTTCAAGAAAAGTTTACCTGAAGACATGATTGCTGCTCGAATTTAACCCCGATGCAAATCAAATCCGCGTTTCGATGAAGCACACGACCAATCTCAGGATCCATAAGGCATGAAACACGTTCTAGAAAGACGCATGTCGGCCAACATTGTGCATTGCGAATAATTCGAGAAGGATAGAAAACGTAAATTTCTTTCCCTTTATTTTGTAAATACCTTACATAAGTAAATTAGAAAAGTAACTCTAAAGTCTTTTCGAAGTTATCGATTTAAAAGTAACATTCCGTTTTTGTCGTTACATTGGATGTTTGAAGGGATCGATCGACAGCTTCGAATAGTGGTCACATATTTGCCATTAATACCAGCGATTTAAAGAGTACATATATTGATAGTGACGTAACGCAATGTTGAATTTTTCTGGAATATCGAATTTTTTTATTCCAATGAATGCATAATAATGGTCACGGGAATAAGATTGTATTGATAATGAGATTATTGAAGAGTTTCTTGTTAGCAACCGCCCATAGAATGTTTCGGAACGCACAATTGCGTACAATTCAGTTCAATTCAGTTCACCAACGGCCAAATCAGACCGAATTACGGTACGTCCACAGTACTACTTTCTGAACTCCAGATGGCATTATCATTACATTTTTGTAAAAGATGACCAAATCACAATTTGGGCGATTTCTAAAAAATAAATTTTCCTGCCACAATAAAAGCCAATCCTACAGTCATACTTCCAAAAGCACAAAAGGCGGTATTCATAGTCAGAACCGTCGGAACTTATGCTTAAATCGTCTTTAAGCACGGTCTTAAGATGCTGTCTATTTAGTCACCTCTAGTCTAAATAGTTCCTCTCTAATAGAATACCGCCTGATCCGCCCATTGTGTTCGTACAGTCGTGGCCCCTGCCCACCACTGCCAGCTAGACAAGTAATGTCGTTACATAGAAATGAGTTCAATACACAAGTGCGGGAAAACTGACAGGTTTTCCCGCGTACGATCTCGTGTGTATGAACGAATTGCATCAGTGGATAGTAAAATAATATTTTAATGTAGTGTCAGAATGAGTTTAGTGCGCTCCATTGTGGAACGTGAAAAAGGATCGGGTAAATATATATACTGCAGATTATAGAGAGCAAGAAATTTGATTAAGTTCTAGATATTCGTCGACAGGTTATATGTAATCGAACGTAGCGTCGCAATTAAATTATCCTTAATTATAATAGTTTGTACGGTTTCGCTGAAACTTTCGTATCTAAGATTGACATATAAATTAAATAAGAATAAAAGTCGTTCTACTTTTCAGCACTGATACGTGATTACGATATTGCTCTGTACCGTTTGAAATGCTACCAGGACGATGTTTATCGTGGCATAACTCCTAACACAAATGCACTCGATTTTAATCCAGAACCGCCGGTTTTTGCATGTCGATTCTGCATTACAGAAGGATACCAACAAATAATTGCATTAGCGAACGAAGATGGGAAAATTGCTCTGCAAGACACGAGCATTAAAGAAGTGTACAACCAGCCATTGGAAGGGACACAGGTATCTGTTGCTTTTTCATAAACTGTTTTACAAAAATTAATTTCAACAATAAAACGGTTGAAGTTAAATATTGATCAAAATTTTGATTATCCTTTGTTAAAGCTTTATTCCATTGCATGTTTTATTCCTCTTCTATTTATGCATATCATTTTGTACATTATTATATAATCACAACATACTATATATTTTAAATGATAATGAGATCAGTACAATGTATTATATGTAATATATTATATATAAGGTTGAATGGATTATATGAATTTAATTCCGTGGATAATTTTAATATAAAATATATTATGGATTGTGTATAAACAAAGATCATTTTAATTATTTCTCAGGCACATTGTAATGCAATATTTGATGTTGCCTGGATGCCAGGTGAATTAAAATTGGTAACAGCATCTGGTGATCACACTGCTAGATTATGGGATGTATCTGGTTCTGAAATCAGAGAAATTGATCATTTTCATGCACACACAAGGAGTGTTAAGACTGCAGTATTTCGTTATCAAGATCAAGGTATACATTTTACATATTCGAGACTAATGACCCACCATGGTGATGCAATGTCTCACCCATTTAGTCGATAACCCAATAACTGAATAATAATATATCAGTCTCAAATGTGTTGAACACGTGGTTCATCTGTGTTTGACCTCTTAATAGGATTTTAATAGGATAGAACTTGTATAAAAATCTTCCAGGTCTCTTTTAAATGATCTTGCTGTTTACCTTTAATGTTTTCAATCTCCGCCAGAAATCTCTGAAGGTAAAGAATTGATTGAAAACATACATTTCAGCTGTATTTGCGACAGGCGCTAGAGACGGTTCTATAATGGTATGGGATATCAGAGCAAATCATTGTGAACAACGTAAACCAGACAATTGTATTGCCAATGCACATAATGTTGGAACCATGGGAAATGTACGACAACGTAGAGCACTTAATCAGGCATCTAGAGCTCAAAGTATAACCGGTTTGGCTTTTCAAGATGATGTCACTTTATTGTCGTGCGCAGCCGGTGACGGGTAAATTCATTCGCATAAGTAAACATTTTCTGCATCTAAAAAAAATGAAGAAACAAACAAAACACTAAGAAATATCATTGGTATTACAGTTTAATAAAAGTATGGGATTTGCGAAAAAATTACACTGTTCACAAAAAGGATCCTGTAGCCAAATATACAATGAACTATACCGGGCACAGTACAAGAAATGGATTCTCATCGTTGTTAATATGTCCCGCGAGAATCACATTGTATGCAAGTTGTATGGACAATATTATATACTCATATAACATATCATCATATAATCCGAAACCAAGTAAGTATTGTAGCACGGTATTATTAACATAAAGTATTGTTTGTGCGTTAATTAGTTTGAGTATTAGTTGCAGAGTTTTATGGGCATCAGAATTGTACATACTATGTTAAGACTTGTTTAAGTCCTGATGGACGTTATATCGCCAGCGGTTCCAGCGATGAACTTGCATACATATGGCGTACAAATAAGCCAGGAGCGCCAATAGTACAACTATCTGGACATACGGAAGAAGTTACTTGCATCGCGTGGTGCAGTGTGGGAGAAACCAAAGTATAAATACATTCTTTAACACCTATCCTTACTTTATGTATACCACACTTACGTTCAATTTTTTTTAAAGATAGTAACGTGCTCTGATGACTCGTGCCATAGAATTTGGAGAGTTGGCTATGAACATAAAATAGATAACGAGGAAGTACAAATACGTGGTCGTGCTGAAGTTGTCCTTAATAAGAACCCCTTGGAAAATTTAAAGTTAGAAACTACGCCAACAGTTACACGGCGTTGGGTTGCATCTCAAGAATGTACCCCAGGATCTGACACCACACCTAGTAATTATTCATAAAATCATAAAAGTATATTCTTCTACTGATTATTACATATATTTTAAATGTTATTATTATCCGTCTCTACCAGATGCTACTCCTGGTCCAAGTTCTGATGTTTCCAATCACACTGAGGGTAATCAGATACAGTATAATATGAATAATTCAGTGAAGAGAAGTTATTGTCAAATGCTGATGGGATCATGGTCCGAAGGGAAATTCAAATCCATCTTGTCACCGATACAGGAGAATCACGAATTCATAGCAAAACGGGCCCATTTAGAGAATCGTGGTGCACGAAGATTGTTCAGCCCGAGTCACGATAACAATCCTCTATGCAAAGGTTACGAATCGGACGAACCAAGCACAAGTTCGTCCACTGTAGAAAGTAAAAACGTGGTCCTCTTCTCGCCCACCTTGAATCTTCCGAATTTCGTAATCGATGGTACAGCGCCGCATTTACTTCAAATGTCTCCGGAAAAGTACAAAGAAAACGTCGATTGGTTGACTAGAATACGAAGGGAGAAGTTTGAACACAGATCAGGGAAATCGATTTCGGAGAAATTATCTAGCCCCGTTTACAACCCAACGCCTGCCAGAAGAAATAGTAGATCGCGATCAACGGAACCGCAGAAAGTAACTAAGCTGCCTAAAAGTTCAGTACCTTCTTTGTTAAACTTTTTCAAGCTTACTGGAAAACATTGTGAAACGAACACGTGTTGTGATGACGCTGACGCAGTGACTTCTACTGAATCTTAAAAGTAAATCATTGCTTGTGGTTTGATTGTATTTTAATTGTAATTTTGTACACATAATTCTAGAAACATTTTATAAGATAGCATCGAATTGCATTCTGAGCGTCGATCAATGAATGTGATAACAATATTAACGCATTTTCTATTGTCTGTGTTAGGGTACCTTACAACGACAAGGAGTATCAATGAGTCTAAAAAATACGACAAATTTTATAATATAGCATATAAGGTATCTAATATAAACGTGTGAGTATTAAAAAATATGTAAAGATAGATTATATACTCAAAAATGTCATGTACTGATGGCATTAGCATAAAGTACCTTTTATACGCAATAATAAATTATTTTTTATAAAAATATATAATTTTAACAAATTTTTTTCTATTTTTTAGTTTTATTTCTACCATTATCAATAATTTGTCCAGTATTTCAGAAAATAAGGAATTGTGGTGTGCGAATCGTAATACTTCAAATAAATAAATCGTAATTTTATTCGAATAATATACATAGTTTTGCTATTAACTGTTCAAATCAGGACAAAATACTTTTACTGCTCGCGAAAGTAATTTAATTTTCACTGATTTTAATTCGTATTCCTCGTCGTCAATGTACAATGTATTCTCTTTTGTTATCTATGAACAGATTTATATATATAAAAAAATTAACTATTAAAATATGTAATTAATATTTACATTTACCTCTTGAGGAGTTATTTCAATGTCCTTTGCTTCTAATACCTGCTTATACAGTAACTTATTGTCATTCTCTTGTTTCCATCCTTCAACCACAAAAGAAAAATACCCAACATGTTTTGGACCTATATTACAGATGTAGCATTTTATTATTTTTGTAAAAATTACACTACACCGTTGTATACAGTTTTTTTTTAATTACCCATTTTTAACTTCAACGCTGCTGGTGATGATGAAGCTTGTGATTTTTCTACATTGGGACTTTCTATATGCAATTCACTTGTTGATATAGGCAACTCATGAGGAATACCACATTGTTCATTTACTATTTTACTGTAGTCAATCTCTAGAAAATACTGTAGTATTATAGAAGAAGTTACAGAATATCTTAAATTTTTAAGCATATATGGACATACCTGGTACAGGAACACTTTTTCTTGGTACAAAGGCATGCCACCACCTTTTATTTATATTAGCAAATTCATCTAATGATGTGTCCCTTTGATAACAACGAGAGCAACCATCACAGGGATTTGTGTACTTTATCAATGCATCGCAATTCCAGTTTAACTTCTCTTTATACCCATTCAATACGTAAGTTGCGTATCTGTAATAAGTTTGGTGTAAACATAAAAAAATATACTATTGAAGAATACAAAATATCAATGCGTACTTTCGTAAAGGTCCCCAATACCAATATTTTTTTGCAATAGAATGCGCATCTTTCCATGCACCCCATTCAACTACTCCCATAGCATAAATTGGTTTCACTGGGTCCTCAGGGTTTTCCTTCAATCACATTTATACAACATATAGGTTAATATTACATGTATTAAATTATATTACTACATTAACAGTATAATTTAATATGCATACTTCAATAGGTTCAACTTCAATCATATCCATCATTCTGAACTTTTCATTTATAATTGCCATTGTGGCCTCTACTACTTGCCTCACATCAGACAAATTATTGTATTCATTGCACATAGATTTTGCAACTTTATTTGTTTGTCCCAAAGGTAAAATACCAATAGGACACTGTTTAACCGAATTAATATTTGAATTATATCTTCTAACTAATCCTGTTAAAACATCAGACAAGGTACCATCTCCTCCAGCAACTACAATGGCATCTGTTGGTTTATTTAAATTCATTACTATTTTCCTAGCTTCATTTTCTGATTCAGTTTGTATCACAGTTACAGCTATCCCAGCCAAGTGCAACAATGGTTCACAGTAGTTTGTAAATAATTTCTTAGCTTTTCTGCAGATGGAAATAATTGTTAGAGAGCAAAAAATTAAAAGATATTTAGTTTATAAAATTCATACAAACCCTTTCTTGGCATTTGGATTTAAAATTATTGTGACATGTCTATTTTTTATATTTGTTGGACATGGAGCATCTCCAAAACGTGATGCAGTTTCACAATATTTCTTCATTAATTCATTTGTACTAAGAAAAATAGAATACTTGTTAATTATCAAGGGTAAATAAAGAAGAATATCCGTATTAAATGCAAAAAGTACTGGAGTTATCAAATTTATTTAAATCAAAAGCATACTAGCGATTCTTTTCATAACATGAGTTGTATCTTACTTGTATGCATCTTTGCTGTATGATACCCCATATGATAAAGCTGCTACTCCTAAGACAGACTTTTTCCAATTATTCCTTATGGTTCGAAAACACTTTAAGACCTTTGCCATTTTTTGGGATTCTTACTTTTGACAGAACAACTTGTACAAGTACATAATTTTTACGCTCTGTATCTACTTATAATTCAATTAAAAATTATCAAAAGCACAATGAATTCGGTTAAAAAATGATCAATAAATTTTATGAGAAGTTGTATACATTTCGGTCAATTTCATCACCTCTTCAATCATCCGGCAGTATATATTATGTTCGAAATATGCAGAAATATGATCTGACGATTATTTTGTAACCCACGTGCTTTTGACGATTTACTACCCTTTTAAATGCATGAGTTGTAATCGTTGCAACGTTGCAATTGGTTGCAATTAGTTGCAATGCAACCACGAACCACGATCGACAGTCGTGTGACGTGTGGTGTCATAGTTGCGATTGTTTTCGGAGCACTACGTTGATCGTTTCTCTTCCTTTTTCCGTAGGTAAACTGTAAATTTACAAGGAGGCGCTTTCATAAGTACCAGCCATTCGGTTAGTAATTTCATTTAAAAAGGAAGTAGAGACGGTAAATGTATGTAACGCGTTGGGTGTATTTGTTACATTACACACATATACTTCTGAATGTTTATCGAAATATTATTCAATATTTGAAGATATCAGGTCTGTAGAATAGTCTGGCAATACGAGATGTTTTGATCGTGTCATTTGCAGATACATAGTTACGTACTGAACTGTACTGACTGTGTACCATGGAATGCACTGTAATCTATAACAGTAACGTTTGTGTGAAGAATTCGTATTTCTGCAACCGTTGTGTATTTACTATGAAATAGTGACAAATTTTGGTGTAATCACGTGTAGTTATATCAAACTGCGCAAATCGGATTGATAATGAATACATGTACTACATTAAACTTTTTCAAAAATATTTTTTAGTATGTTTTTGCGTTTTATGATGATGTATATTTGGATGGTTTTTAAAAAATTTAAGGCATTTTTTCACCTATAATAGACTTTCTCTGTGTAAAGAATATTTACAATGCACTTGTAATTTTCATTTCTGCAATCTATATAGTTTTAGTATGTAACACATACTTTTAGTAAAACTAGTATCTATGCATAGAAAAGCTCTGTCTACCTAAAAGACAGAATTTTAAATTTGAGCATTAACGTATTCCATGTTACACATTAACATAAAAGTTTCAGAAAACTTGAATATTCATTAAAAACTATTAAATACCTTTCACCTTTGAGGATATTAAATATACATACAACTTTGTATTACAGATGGAATGAATAAAAATTATAAATACTGACAGTTAAGAAGTATGAACTAATGATTTGTTGTGAAACATATAATACTTTGATGGGAATAAAAAATGGATCTTGAAGGACATTCTGCATCAAGAAAAACAAGCGATGGTTTAGAGGATAATGAAGTTTGTACAAGTGAGGCAAACACAATGGTTGGAGTAATAGAAACATCAAACAAAACAGATACTGAAAACAAAGAGATAGAACAACTTGAAGAAGTTAATGATCAAGACACTGTTGAAGAGAAGAAGAACAAAGAAGTTCCTGTTGGTAATTCAGTTATATTACCAGAACCATCTACTTCACTGGATAACATTTCAACTTCTTCCAATGATATTGAATCAAGCACATCTTCCAAAGAACAAAATAAAATTAAGAGATGTGTTTCCAAAAGTATATTCAGAAGTCTATATATATTTATTTTTTACAACTTTTGAACATTATCGGCCGGTCATCTAAAAGTAGATATTATGGACTGTGACGGTCTGTTTGTTAACAAATTTGTGTAAACGCGAATGTGACATAAACTTTCTGAACTTTATTAAATGTATTTAATATTATGTGCAATTATAAATGTATAATAATACTTTTGTAATATTTTTTCCGAAACTAGAAAGTGATGACAACCGATAGTGTGTTGATATACACTGAAATTATTAAGTTTTTTACTTACCAATTCTAATGTACAGGTCAGGTAAATGGTGACAGTGGCATATCAATGGAGAAATTTGGGGACAGCTCGGATGAGGAATCTAGGAAACGCCGGAAACTGAATGTAGGTGGAAGTAGTACATCGGAATCTGAGGACAGTAGCATGGATAATGTGGCAAGGTTTAATAAAATTGAAAAAACCAGAGTGAAGATGCGTAATTATCGTAGCAAAAGAGCTTTAACAGAGGAACGCGAGGACAGTTTCAATGATAGTTCCGAAGATGATTCTGAAGATGTTGAAATGATACAGCAAGGTAAATAATTTAAAGAAATACATAACGTATAAAGAATCTCGATATTACATTTGCTGTAAACATAGAAAGAGAACGAGCTGCAGCAAATGGATCATCATGGGACAACAAATTATTTCCGGATCTAGATGATACAGATGTATGATCTAGTTTTTTTCGTAGTATGCTTCTGAAACTGTCTGTTTAGCCCCAGAAATCAGTTACTTTTTATTTATATTCTTCTCTAATAAAACTATTTAATGAAAGATCGAATAGTCTGATGAAATATTCAAGACTACTATATTATGATCATAAAGTGTGAAATGTATGCAATAACTTATGGATTGGTTGATGTAACTAAAACTATGTTTTGCCGACAATCTGTTTTATTATATATAAATATTTACATTTACAGATAAGTCTCCAGCTTGTTTGAAGAAAGAAAAGCCAAAGCCCAAGTGGTTTGCGGTACCAGAACTTATTTCCCGTGAACAAGGCAGGAATTCAATATTTCATCGGAGATATTATGGTTCATTACATGTCGTGCAACGCTTCGATCTTATGTATAAACTTGAAGGCCATTGGGTATACATATTTTTTGAAGAAAATACGGTGGTCCTTATTACAGAATATTAACATAAAATACTATTTTCATAGGGTTGTGTTAATAGCTTAAATTTCAATCAAAGAGGAAATTTACTAGCTAGCTGTTCCGACGATTTAGCCGTAGTCATATGGGATTGGGCGGCAGGGAAGAAGCGTCACATTTTCAACAGTGGTCATACGAGTAATGTCTTTCAGGTATGCAAAAGTGTGCATTGACCTTAATTATGTTTGTCCTTCAATTACTGCAGGGATGTATAATTTTTGTTAGTTTTAAATGTACAGGCTAAGTGGTTGCCGTTTGATGTAGAATATTTAATGACCACTTGTGCTCGGGATGGACAAGTACGTCTATTAGATGTCAGAACCGGTATATCACGAAACATTGCTAAACATGACGCACCAGCTCATAAATTAGCAGTTCATCCGGATACACCGTACATTATTATTTCTGCTGGCGAAGATGCTAGAGTGCTGTCCATTGATATCAGGGATGATAAAACAACTGAGTATGTCACTTTCCAAGCAACCGTTATTAAATATAAACACACGTTGTTTCACAATATACATTAACATGATCTGGTTTTGCAGATTAGTAGTGGTAAAAGATGGTGTTGATGATGTGGGATTGTATAGCGTTCAGTCCAATCCACTCAATAGCAATGAATTTTGTGTTAGTGGACTATCTGAAGTAGTTCGAATATACGACAGACGAAAAGCATCCACACCGTTGCACATGTTGTGTCCTTCACATTTGGTATATTATCTGAAGTTCTACAAAATATAGGATGTTCCTTAACTAAAAATACGGTTATATAAACGTTATATTAGAAATGGTATCTCAATCCCGTTAAGCTCGCATTTCTGACATCGTGTTTAACACCTTTGACCTTCCTTAAAGAGGCCCTTCAGTTAAGGAACATCTCATAGAGCTGTATTAATATTTACGTTTGACTAATTTTCTAACAAATTGCAGATTGGAAATTCACGATGCTTACATGTCACTTGTGCTGTATATAATCATAATGGAACGGAAATTCTTGCAACCTATAACAACGAATTAATATATTTGTTTGATGCAGTATCACCAAAACTTGGAGAATATGCACATAGTTACGGTGGTCATTGTAACAAGCATACTGGTGTGTACTTATTATTAACTACTGTCACAGATGCGGTGTAGTTGTAAAGCAGACCCGTGACAGTCGAGTCCTTGTGTTAACCATTCGATGTTAAGATTACCTTTGGAATATCACTATATCCACTTTATATATTTTTCAGTAAAAGGTGTCAATTTCTTTGGACCAAAAAGCGAATTTGTTATCTCCGGATCTGATTGCAGTAACATATTCATTTGGGATAAGGAAACAGAAGCGATTGTAAATTTTATGCCTGGGGATGCGCAAGGAGTGGTGCGTTTTCAAGTGAATTAAGTATACCCATAATAGTGCAATATATTTGAAATTTCAATAATACTTTTTCATGCAGGTCAATTGTTTGGAACCTCATCCACACATTCCTATTCTTGCCACAAGTGGTCTGGACTTTGATGTAAAGATATGGGTACCTTCTGCTGAGCAACCCACAACCTTGGCGCAATTGAGTCTTGTAAGTATGTTATAAATAGGATGCACAGGGTAAGCCAATTTACATGGCTATTTTCAATTTAAACATTTTCCTGCATCATTAGAACTATCAGAGATACATATTACAAATAGTCACATTTTAATGATATATTTTATAGATTATAAAAATGTGTGTAATTTTATGTTCAATATGAATTTTCCTTCATGGTCATGTAATTATTTATACACTCGTGATGCTTGTTTTTAGTTCGTGAAATATAATAGAAGTAGTAGAATGCAGACTATTGTACAGGTACTACGGTACAAGATCTGGTCAATATTGCCGCCAATGGGCTTTGCTGAAAGAGTATGTAATGGAAAGAATATTCATTATTGAATATAAATTGATTATAAAGTGTTTCATATTCGATACAGATTTATTTATATTTTTGTCTGTTATGATATAGCGTAATCCAAATACTGACGATGATGATGACGACGACGACGACGACGACGACGAAGATGACGACGAAGATGATAACGACAGTAATAATCATCTACACAGAACAGAAAGAGAACAATGTTCTGCATTCTAGAGGTATCGAAGCGGGTAGTTTCGTTTTTCATGAACTAACATTTACACAAATCCTTGGATACAGTCATTGAATGTTGACACCTATGATAAAGATGTACATAGAAAATGAACATATAGTTCTATAACCCTTTTTAACTTATTTTTTGCTAGATCAACAATTTATATGCATTACATACAATATTCATTATTATTTTTTTTATAGTTATAATGGCCAGGTGCGTTAAAAGTGTAAAAATTTTTGCTAAAAATATATATAGTATTAAATAATAACGCGTCAACAAAATTAAAACACTAAATACCATTGTTCCTGAGAAAATAAACATGTCTGTTATCGTATTTACTGAAGAATTATAATAATTTCATTAAAGTCCGCGCTTCTGTTTCTATGTTTACTAGTAATGTTTTAATGTTTTTTAAGATTTATGCGAAATATATACGGTTCTGCGTTTCTGAAATGTGTGATCGTTTTTTAATCTTGGAATTACTTCAAATAATTTATTTATTCTACTGTATATCAATTCATAAATTAAACTGACACTTTGAATGAAGTGTTAAAATTGAATTCATTACAATAGTTCTGTGAAACGTTCTAGATATACGAAAGTGCGTTAGGCGGTACAACGAAAGAGTTTAAATTCATGTTTTCCACTTCGTTATATATTAAAATATTTATTTGTTGCACGTAATCAGCATAGTGTACAATCATACATTTATATAATCTTTGTATGTATAAGTGAAAATAATTTTGTCGGAAACAAGAAATTATTAAATATGGAAACATAATGGATTGCCAAGTAAATGTATGTAACAGAAAATTAAAAAGCAACATACTCAAAATATATTGATTTAAAGTATATGATACTCTTTAAAAGATACCAATTGAATGAGCAAGACCTGCATATATATGCAATGTTGTGGCACTCATTACAAAAGCAGTAATAGCTTTAAAAATGACTATCGACCATGGGCCAGTTAGAAACAGTGTTATTAGGAAGTCCAGGATAAGTGACCTATATAACAGAATTTAGTACCTAAATAACAGAAATATAAGTATATAAAGCAGAGTTTCACTTAATCTACTATACTCTATTGTTCAATGCTTACTACATTAATATTAGATTCAAGACTTTTCTGAATGTATTTAAAAATTACTTCAGCCCCTGCCCATCCAGTTCCAGCAGTCAGAACTTTAGCATGTCCTTTACCCGGTATACTGTTAAGTACCAATAATATTCCCACTAAATCAGCTAAATCTATGGAAGACTTTAAAAATTCCTGAAAAAATGTATCATTCATTAAGGAGCCAAAGTAATAATAAATTGAAATTAGCGACTTATGTTGTCTGTCGGAGTTGGGCGGACCAGCGCGGCCAAGTAATTTTAACTGCCGATGTGCATGTGTGCATTCGCGAGCGAACTGAGCGAACTTCAAGAGGACGGATTGACCTATGCGCGCGCGCACCAGTACGCGATAAGCGCGGCCACTTTCACGTTATTTTTTGCGCGATCGTACACCGCCGCTCCTATTAGGCCACGTCAAAATTATCTTCGTCGTCCGTCACCGCGTCAGGCCATTGAGCATATTCCTTTTCGGACGAGCAAGGGTGCAGTGGTGAGCGAGAAAAATAAAATGTGAAGAATGCGCAACAGCAACTGGCTACGTCGGTTCATCGAGGCCGTCTGACTATTTAGACAGATAGGACTCAGCAGCTCGAGTACTATTTTTATTCCAGTTTCCAACTTAGAATCGACAAGCACCCGAAAATGTCATTCGAAGGGAAATACAATGCGAAAAGTCCCGGTATGTTATCTATGGACAATTTAATTCCATACGTTCATTAATTGTCACAGGTACATCTACATACAAACGAACCGAGGCGCAGTAATGTTCTTTTTTCTGTTTCTCTTTCGTTCACGGATCAACGTTATCTTTTGCAATTAGCATCGCGTTTTCTCGCGAAAGAAGTCAGTAAATTTTTTTTTGTAAATTCTCCGACCTAAACTGTATTTCGGCTGTTTTATTCTAGCCGGTTCAGCGCTCGACATATTTCAGTATAACAGCAAATTTCATGATAATTTTCTTACTTATTTGTGTTTATTTTCCCTATTTTGTTCTTTATCTTATAAATAGTTAAGTTTTAATACAGTATATGCACCAATTATTCGACAATAGTAGTAATAGTAATAGTAGTATTTGTACTCTTTATGGAAAAAATAGAGTGATTCTAAAATGACATGAAAATCCTTTTCTCTAAAATGACATCTATAAATTTTCTTATCTAAACAAGAACTATACGATGCAACATTTAGAATATCTATCTTCTTACATTTTTTATTGCCTCACTGAAAACATTAGAAATACGTGTTGGAAATACATTGTGGTAGGTAAAAATATTGGTAGTGAATATATTCAAATATATTTGTGTTGAGTGCATAGTATGTAGTAATTAGTTTTCTGCATAAATAATGGCCCATTAATGATTTCTTTTGCGAATATGTAAATTCCAGCTGTAAAAAGGTTAATGAGAGAAGTTCTAGAGCTTCACGAGGCAACCGAAGAATATTGTGCTTCTCCCTTGGAAGATAATCTTTTTGAGTGGCATTTCACTGTGCAAGGACCACCCTCAACAGACTTTGAAGGTGGTGTTTATCACGGTAGAATTCTGTTGCCACCTGAATATCCTATGAAGCCTCCAAATATTATACTGCTAACAGTAAGTAATATTAATTTCAAATGTATTTTTTCATCTGTTTGTAATTTTTTTATTATAAATGTTAATGACTTTTTTTAGCCAAACGGCCGTTTTGAAATTAACAAGAAGATATGTCTCAGCATCTCCGGACATCATCCAGAAACGTGGCAGCCCTCTTGGAGCATCAGAACAGCTTTGCTGGCCTTAATTGCTTTCATGCCAACACCAGGAAACAGAACAATAGGTTCTTTAGATTATAGTAAAGAAGAAAGGCAGAAACTTGCAAAAAAGTAATTAATAGAAATTGCTGGATGTAACAAACTACACAGTTATTAATCAGTTGCATAGTTTACTTACTGAGTTAGTTTATTACAGATCTCTGAATTGGCAATGTGACACTTGTGGGAAAGTCGTAAACTTGTTGTCCAAAACTACAGCTAAAAAGCCTATCACAGAAGAGGAACAGACAATGTTAAATACAATTGCCTTGAAGGTAAATTTACTGTAATGTTATATGAACTTCTGTAATCAATCGCAGACTTCTCAAGAAATCGTGATATTAGGCTGACGATTCGCCCACATCGGAACCAAGTTTCGTGGCCAGTACGGCGGACAGTGTTCCAGAGAATGAGTTGAGGCAACGTAACGTCGACACGACTTCTGTTGAGAATCAGGATCGACAACAATCAGACGTCATAGTAAATCAACAAGTAGAAACTATGTCATCTTCTAATGATTTATTTTGGAGCATTCTGATTGCTTCTTTAGTGTCAGCAATAATTCTACTTGTTTTGCGGCGACTATTTCTTGTTTAAATTATTCGAAATGTAACAAACGTTATACTTGTAAGTATGTTAACAAGACGAAGTAAATTTTATACACGTTTTATGAATAGCATTTTTAAACTTAGAAACAACTGACAGGTTTATACACGCTAGAGATAATCTGGTTCCCATAAAGACACAGTATATGGCAGAGACACGTACGGGCTGCACTGATATATCCACTTTAGTACATATCTATTTTATTCCTACAAAACATCTAAAACTAAAAATCGCTTTGTTCAACTATGCATTAAGATTTGGCAAAATTCTAAGTCTTTGTGCATTGTTGCGTTCTTTCATTGGCTGTATTTACTAGTCTTTGAGATTCTTTTGAGTATTTTCATAAATAATGTATTCTTACAACGTGAATCATTATTTGAAAATGTTACTTTGCATTTATCGCATACACAAACACACACACACTTGAATTGTACTTGGTATCTTTTACAATATTCTGTAAGTTTATTTCGTAAAAATAATTATGCTATGTTCGTAAAAAAATTTGCCAAATATTTTTAAACTAAATCTATTTCATAATGGAACTAACACCTTTGCCAGAATATACTTCAATCCTATATTCCTACGATTTTCAATTATAATTACACGTTTCCTTTTCCTTGTATTGTTTGTATGAATGTAGATAATTTGTATCCTAAACAAACTGTATATAAGTGATAAAAATTTAAGGTAGCTTACACGAACTATTATGTTGTATTCCACAAAACTGTGCACATGAAAAGTAAAAAAAATACACCAGTTCAAAAAACATGTTTGTAGTACAAATGTGATACTGACAACTCTAGTATTTTAAATACCTCTCATTTTTGCACAAGTATGCAATTTAATGCATATCATACATGTTAAACGAAAGCAGTTATCTGCTTTAACGAAGTAGTTGACACCAACTTACGAAAATATGATTATAATACAAAACACAAAGAAAGTTTTAATATTATGGGACCACATGGAGTAAAATTTTATTACAGGGTTCATTATAGGTACGGTTTACACGAAATTAATTGAGGCTACAATATTTGGGCACACATTAATTCTCTTTCTTTCCATTAAACTTTGCATGTACATACAAATATAATAAAGTAACTGTTTATTAAAGCATTAAACATATTGGTTTATAATATCTATTGTTACATATGTCATATGTAATAACTTTATTCATTTTCACGTTAATATATAATTTTATTGCTAAATGTTAGATCAGCATGATATTTCTGAGAAACGTATTCATCAAGCTTAATCAGAAGGTGCATAATCTTTGGATATAGAGATCACTTTTCGATTTATCTCCACACGTTAAATAAGAACCATAGATTTATTAATTATGATGACTGTTCACACAATTCTAACAGAATAAAAAAATACTAGTACAATGATATTAACTATATTTAATATATAAGCAAATAATGCACTGTGTTACTCTTTACATATCGCAATCTCACATGGACAGTGAATGTCTGTACATAAAATATAAACAATATCACTTTGATCGTTAATGCTAGGCGCAGATAAAGATACTCTTAAAGCCAACAATGATAAATTTTGTTCATAATTTCAAGATCGATATAATACTTTTAAATTATCCTTAAAATTTAATTATCCGCAAAATGGCAATAGTGTGCTAGAATTGATTAAAAATAGCTGGTGTATTAAGCATAATTGTACATATAAATGCAACTCGTGTCAAACAATTGTTTCAATATAAAGTAGTAGCTATGTGGTGACTTAATACTGAAAACACTTTTTGGTCCCTATTATCTTAGAGTAATTCAAATTTTTGAAAAAATACTTTTTGCATAAACATTTACTGAAGAAATACTGTAATTAATTTAAATGCTTTAGAAACGTATGTTTAATACGCAACCTATGAAAAATAACTCTGAAGATACATTCTAATCTTTTCGCTAATCTTTCTCTAAAATAAAATATAACGGCATTTTCAGATGGAATTCGATCAATTCCAGTATTACTTATAATATTTCAATTATTAACATATCAATACTACTTAATTGAATATAAATATAGCGTTTATCATATGAACTTTCATACAAAAACACAGATTGTAAACGTTTTAATATATTTTCTTTTTTATGTTGCTTGAAGCATCTTTCCAATCTTCCCAATACTAAACAGTACAACTGAAAATATTTTTATGGGATACGCTGCATACTTAAGATTAACAATTTAGTCAATGACGAGCTATTTACACGCATTTTGCACAACTGACATTTCTGTGCGTTTGTCATGGAATTTAAAAGAAAAGTTTCATTCTTTAGTACCTTCAAGGGGCATGAATCAAATCTTTGGAATTTCAAATAAATTAACGATGACTATGATAGCCATGGCACTGCGTCATTAACATACTGCATCACATTATTATTATTCTCATTATTGTTAACGTTATTACTACCTGCACTATTGCTGCATATATTCTGATTCATCCGTAAATTATTCATAAGCTAAACATCTTACATTTAATTATGTAATTATAACGGAGCATACCCGCAAATGTGATGCAATCAAGATTTAACGTGGCGTGTTTAGCAGTTACTTGTTTTATATTTCTTTTCCTTATCTATTGTAATTAGGGATCCTAACCGTAATTCACACCGAATAAATATTTAAACATGCTAAACGATGATCAAAGAAGTAGATGATCAATTCACTACTAGAAGCAGTAATGAGACAATCAGTGAAACAAATTGCGAAAGGAGTAATCACCACAAATTGAAACAAGATGGTAATTTATATAATAGTATACTTCTAGCTGAGAGTATACTTAAGATTCTTTATATTAAAAAATTTAACTAATATTCTTCTTAAATAAATTGTTTGAAAAGAACCATCCATAACCAACTTGGGTTTCGATTTGGACTTTGGAATGGTTACGATCCCCGATTGTAAGGCAGCCTACGTTTTGTTTTTTTTAATTTATGTAGTTCAATTATCAATGTTCTATCTAAGATTGTTACTTAATTATCTCGTAATAATTTAACCACTGTAGAAACAGATTCTGTACATTCAAACATGTATCAACATTAATATTCCATCAGCACCACTGTATTCTTTCCTTAATTCCGATCTTCCAGAGATTCATGAAATTTCAGTGTGACTAGACTACATAAAAGACAAGATAGTCTCTTTCTTGTATAAAATACAGTTAATTTAAGATACACTACGCTCCGAAAGAAATTATTTTCGGAAAAAGCAGCTTCTAATTTCGACCGCAAAAAATATATATCGATTGATAACACCTGACGTAATTCTGCTCTTAATTTCTTTCTTTTTTCCTATCTAAATTACATCATGAATAGTAGACTTCATTGAACGTAAAGGTCTATACCGTTGCATATATGATATGCATTCTTTAATCTTTTGAAGCACGAAAGTTATCCCTATATTTATTTTTTTAACTATTTCCACAGGAAATGCGTTCGTTAAGAAAAATGAAAAATGATCAGAATTTATGATCTATACGCACTTCAAAAGATTGAAGTGATAATATGATATTATATGATAAATGTTTGTACAAAAGAAAGATGAGATCACTGTCGCTCACAATATATAAATTTTAAATATGAAACTTGTGTCTTCGGAAAGAGGTATACAAAACTATTAAAATTAAGAAAGGAAAACATGAGAACTGCTAATAGGAAGAAAGTTATTGTCTCGCGGAAGTTATATAAAATGAAACTAACAATCGTAATAGATATGAAATTCTTTGCAACGATACAATTATTGTAAAATAAGCAAATAAAGACGACATGAATTTAGCCTAATACCGATGTATGTACATATGCGATAATATAAAAAATCTTTTTCAGTTGAATCATTGGCATTTTCTATTGTTAATAATAAACTGTTGAAAGGTATTTCCAATAATATACCTTCCTATTAAAATTCTATCTCAACTATATTGAATTATACATTTATCAGTATGTACCTTGAAACAATAGAAATATATCTTCATATTGTTTCAACAATACAGATTGAAACAGTAGAATCATCTTTTAATTTTCTAAAATTATTTCGTATTTCTTATTTTTTTAATTCCGTTGCATACCCTTTCCTCTATAATACAAAAATACAAACAATCCTGTGTAATTGTAAATATATTATTTATCAGCTAGTGCTAGTCCATTCACCTGTTTCTTTTAATGCTCTGTCTGTTAATCTTTCTATTTCAGTCAAAAGCTGCTCAGTCTCTACATCAACACATACCATTTCCGCTTCGACCGGATCCCATTCTAAACTATTTGGTGTAGACACTCTAGACCAAGGAGATGCTGTCAAGCTAGAGGGCTGGCTATTGTTAACTGATGTTTGAGTTATAGACGCATCGTTACTTTCGATGTTTTCATCATCCATAATTGGTAGAGGCATTCCTAAACCGATAATACTTTTATGTATCTTACGTCATATATGAATACATGCATCATTGTAGAAGAACTAGCACTATCCATGAATTTGAAGGACCCTGAGATTTAATATTAACTGTAGCAGGATCCTTTTACCTTCATGTTCCCACTCCAAATCTAACGATGATCCAGGAGTAGAAGAGACACATGCTTGTTGCTTTATTAACGTCCTTGCATCGAGAATTTGAAGTTGAGTATCCAATCCAGAACTAAAAATTCATTAGAGAATTATTTTTATTTTACTGCTGTTAATTCAATAAACATAAATATACGAATCTTGTAAAATACCTTGTTGAAGCATTGTTCCTAGAATTTAATCTGGCATATTTGTTAGTACCCTTTGACCATCCTCCTTCTTCTAACAATTCCAATGTCACAGGAACTCCATGTTTTTTCTACAAATGTATAATATAGCTGAATAAACACTTCCCATTAATTAAAGTATAATTTCTACAGTTACATGAATTTAATATAACATCATTAACTGTACCATTAAGAATCTTGGATAACTCTATTACAATAGGTAACAATTAAATACATACACTTACAATGCTGAGTATAATACACAAAAATCCTCATAGTCTATTCCAATTACCTTGAATCGATTTAAGGAGAGAAACGATAACAGGCTATCCAGGAGGCATAACAATGAAGTGTACAATTAATACAATAAAACAATGAAAGACTGCCCTGTAGCTAAGCATAATGTCTTACGTTTTTGATCCTATAGATTGATCTGCATCTCCTTTGTCATCTATAAACTATAAATAGGTACATTACTTTTTAATATATTCATAGATATATTCTAACTATGAGCTGTAACATATATTTATCATAGAAATCATTAACTGTATCAGGAAATCTTATATACCTCAACTTGTTCGTCTCCTTGGAAGGACATATTGGTGTGCCTTTGGTAAAACCTTAAATTCAAATGTGTTCTGCATAAGAAAACTAATGAAATATACTCATAGATAACAATGAAAAGAGGTAGTAATTCATTGTAGACACAAAAAATGTCTTGAAAACTTTTAAAACACTGAAGATAGTTCTAGGATCAGTAATCTTGGCTGAACTGGGATGGCAAGAGGAGCTTTTGTAAATGGAGCCCACTTGGTTTATTATCATACTGTATTGTTACTCTCAGGTACAAACATAATGTAAGGAGAACATAAAGATCTAAATATATCGCACTGTTTCCCAAGAAAACGTTTTTATTTAAAGAGAAAAGGCGTGTATCTAACCTGTACGACAATGAGTCTGTCACTTTGGAAATGCAGCGGCCGAAACAGGCCCCCATGACCTGTTAACACACGGCGTATCGCCGTCATCTAACTGATATAGGCGTTCAGAGATCAGTAGTTAATTCCACGTGAAGAATGAAGGATAACAGGAAAGAAGGGTGGCCCTTCGCACAGAGTACAAGAAACATCAGTAGATGTCAGTGGATACGACTCATCGCTCACGAGTACCAGAGTAAGAGTCAGTAAGAGTACCAGCACCAGCACCAGCGTCTGTCAAGTGCAATTGAGTGTAGTTAAGTGCATACTGGTGCATAGGATGCACTGCATACTCGCGTGTATTCCTGATACCTGCTCGCTGCAATTCTGAGTGAACGCTTGCGTCGAGGCGTCAAGACACAAGCTCGCCAACGTTTGCGTCACTCATAGAAAATACAATATTCTCTCGTTATAAGCTCGATTTTCTCTTCAACGCTGTAACGTGTATTAAAGGTATTACACATAATAATTGTGTATCAATTAATGATATTTGAAATAATTTAGGATAAGGGCGTATGTTTATACTCAAAGCATTTAATATTCATGTTTCCTTACTCATGTTTTGACCAGCTGTGACAAAACAATATTACCGACGATCTCGTTAAAAGTTTATCAGCGATTTTCAAGCAGAGGGCTTATAACGAGGCAACATCGAACAGAGACGGATAATTTAGGTAATAGCTCTTTATCTACGCAAACTAATCGAAACTATCGTTTAACAAAATTGTAATTTATCTATATATTTGTTTAGCTTTGAAGTCAATTAAAATTTAGATCAATTTATTTCATCAAGTCTTTTTAGAGTAACCAATTCGATTGAGTACATTCATTGGACACACTGTTTGATATTTTTGCATTGGAAAGTTGTCATTGAAATGCAGTCATTCCTCTTCAATCATGTGGTTCATGAGACATAACTGAATATGTATTAGGTATTTGGCAAATGGTGTTAGAGGAGAATTGGCTGACATTTATAATTTTTGTCACACGTCAAACTAACAGCTGGGCAATTGTAGCGTCTGTAATTCGGTAATTTTTTTATAAAGTGTGAAAGATTCGTTTACGTGATTCGATGAGATTGTTCAGAGAAATGATTCCTGATGACTGGAAGATAATAGAATGGTACTATGAATGTTATTGCTAACAGAACTTTTTTTATTCTTAAATTTAGATCGAACGAGACTCACGAGAGAGTTTTAAAACCATGAAAAAATATACAGTGTAATACATGCCTATTAAACGTGATAACAGTATTTTTTCTTAAATATCAAATTTATCAAACACAATATTACCATGAATTCTGTAATTGCATTTACCTTGATGTTAGTCATGTTAATTAATGTCAGGGATGGATTCTTGATATCCCAACATCCAAAGCTATTAGTGGTATCTTATGATGCCTTCAGGTAAGATATGTCAGGTCCTACAAATGTGAATTACATCTAGAGAACCTTTTGTCTTATAACGTGTTTCATACTTTACAGATATGACTACTTTAACAGAAACCTAACACCGTTCATGAACAAATTAAAACATGAAAGTACACATACCGATTATATAATGAATGTCTTTGTCACTAAAACATTTCCTAATCATCATACTATGGCCACAGGATTATATGCAGAAACGCACGGTGTTGTGGATAATGAATATTATGATCCCATTTCAGGGAATACAACTAAATATTCATATGATTTGTATCATTATGACAACAAGATTCTTCCCATTTGGGTATGTAATAATAGTATAAATACTATATTCATTCTTCACACGATTAACACTGTTGTATGCAATAGACTGCTAATGAGAAAGGAGGAGCACAAAGACGAAGCGGCACAATGATGTGGCCTGGTGGAATATACGAGTATCAAGGAATTTCAGCTACATTTTCACAGGTATACTTTTTACCTGTAATTAAATTTGTAAGCCTGAACTGTTCAGGATCATTTCTCTGTCAATGGTTCTATTACAAAAAATCTATTTTATGTTCAAATAATCTGTTGTTACTCTGGTCAGATTTTTAACGAGACTATACCTTGGGAAGAAAGAATAGACACTTTGGTATCATGGTTTGTTCATCCGACACACCCGATAAATTTTGGTATATTATATATTGAAGAACCAGATTATCATGGTCATATATTTGGAATAAGTGGCCCTGAGTTTGACAATATTTTGAGGAAATTGGACAATATAACCAAGTATTTACACTATAAGATAGAACAGCATGGTTTACATGATCTAAACATTGTTCATTTGAGTGATCATGGAATGGCACCTGTAAAACTAGATAGGATAATAGATCTAACAAAGTATATTAACAGTTCTGACTACAAGTTTGTGGGTACCTCACCAGGCTTACACATTTTCCCTAATCCTGGTACGTTGATTCACTATATCTGCTTATTAACTTCATTTGAGCTATTTTGAAACTGTCTCAATTAGATTCTATAGGTTTAAATAAAACAATAAAAATAATTTTATTTGTTAGGTAAAGAAGATATTATTTATCAAGCTTTAAAACAAGCAGCACAGAGTCAAAAGGCTTTCACGGTCTACAAACGAGAGGAGATTCCTCAGAAGTATCATTATGGAAACAATACACGCGTTGGCTCTATTTTTGTTATTGCTGAAGTTGGATATGCATTTCAGAATCTTCTCGAGACTATAGAATACTATAAAAAGAAATTCAACATTACAGGTGATTCTAAATAGGCAACATGTAGTATTGAATTACTAATCTAAAGATTTGGACTGTTTGAATCTGTACTATACAAACTGTATGCAATATTTATTTACAGTAAATGGTGACTCAGAGTTTGGCTTGCATGGATATGATAATGCAGCAATAGAGATGCATCCATTCTTCTTTGCAATGGGTCCTGCATTTATACCCAAATGTAAACTAGAACCTTTTAACAATATAGACTTATTCCCCTTGTTTTGTAAAATACTTGACTTAGAGTGCCCCAAGGTAAATGGCACTTTATCGCATATAACCAAGTGCCTTAAGAGACATCAACAGGATATAACAATTATTGCTTACAGAATGATATGTAAGTAAAGATTATAATATTTATTCTTGCTATCATATGTGTTCACAGTTTGATTTAATGTCTGTTGTCAATTAAGTTGTAGCCACCACTATTTCTATGATGTTAGTTGGGATTATAGCAGCAATAGTACTTTTTTATATGAGGAAACGAAAATTAAGATCAAGAAGTTACAAGTAAGTACACACTTCGGACACGTTTTTGTTTTTCTGACGAACTACATAAAAGGAATAAGATACTTCACAATTGTTTTTAGAAATGTAATTTTGGATTTTAGAGAATGAACTGTAGAAAATAGTGATTAATATAATATTGATATTTTAATTTTTCAGGAGATATTATCCAGTGGATGGATAATATGTAAAAAAATAACAAGCAATAGATGAAATATATACATTTTCGTATTATACATAGATAAACCAAAATAGGTTTGAAAGCGATTTTAAAAAAAGATGGCATGATAAGAAATAGCACTTCTGTAAAGAAAAAATACAGTCTTGATTTTATTTACGACAAATAATGTCTTATTTTTTCAAACTTTAATAAATAGCGATATATTAAAGTAGAATTTTAATCTTCTTAAGTAATTAACAGTCTCATACACTAATCTATTAATTGTGTAAATAACAGTACACTTTTGGAATTCGTGCAAAAGCATGCACTGTTTTATACTAGTTTAGTGAAAATGTTTAATCTTTCAATTATAGACTAAACTATAAGAAGATTGAAAAATCAAATTTTTGTCTAAAAAGAAAACATAAATTTCTCATTTATATGGCTACGAATATATTTTAGAAAGAATAGAACAAATACGAACGCTTTCCTGTGGCATTTTTAAAAAATTTCTTTCGTTCCTGATATCAGAATCAAACAAAATAATACAACCTTTTATTTTTAGAAGAATACTGGAAGATTTGGAAGCACAGTACCGTTGGGATGTAAATCACGATATTCAAAATCCTACTTGCAAGTAAATTTACAAAGATTTGTTTTCAAACTTTTACTTTCCGCTTCATGCTTCTACAAAGGGCTCATTATCTGTACACGCAGAAAACGAGAATTCTGATCTCCCTGTATTAATAATTTCTTTATTTTTCTTTCCAGATTAAACCATTTCCCAGATTTATTCATTATTTCATGCCACACGAATAGTAGAGGAAATATTAAGTATAGGAAATCCCTTTTTCAATGTCGGTGACACGTGCTTCACGCGTTGCACGGCACAACGTAATACCTTTAAACTACATATAAATGAGAAAATAATACTACTGTGATACTGAAAATCGTTTAATTCAGACAAATCTCTGAATAGTACACTTAAATAAGCGAACAAATTGTACTAGTTTGTATACTAGGTATACAGATTTTTGTGGGTTTCCAAGATATACTTTCCACGAACATCTTATTCTTTTAGATAGTATAATCTAACCTTATACAATAACTGAACATACAATTTTTATTTGTATTCGTTGTTAATATGATGACGTAAAATTAGTGAGATGTTATGCGCGAGCAACATCTATGGTAAATTGGGAATACAACAAATTAACATGCACAGTATTACTTTAGAATATAGATTGTAAGGTGACTCAGCATCTACAGGGAGTTAAGAAATTACATGTCCCTGCTACTATAGATGGATTCTACACCTTCGGTTTGGTGGAGATTGAAATAAGAAAATTATGTTGAAATTTCATTCATTTGTAAACTGATTTTATTTATAATATATTGAATCTCGCAGTTAGATACAGCACAGATATCATGGTATGGGTGAAGTAGTAGAGTTTTCTCAGCTTTAACTTTGATCATAAAGATGAAAAATCCCTACTGCTTCGCCAATACCTTGGTATCTGAGTTGTATCTGACTGCGAGATTCAATATATTATAATTAAGGTCAGTTTAAAAATGAATGAAACTTCAACATAATTTTTAAAGAGAACGGTTGAGTTCCACCCCATGGTTCCTTTCAGACTTTTTATCCTTACGATGAGTAGAATGTAATATAACGATTAAAAAAATTTGACCTTCAAATACAAGGTCAAGGTCATTTCTGCAGTAACATTTTTACCTCAATCTCGACCAAACCGAAGATGTAAAATCCGGCTATGGTAGCCGTGACATATAATTGCTTGACATCCTGTATATTGCCAGCAAAATACCGTATGAAATTATAGACAAAACGAATTTTATCATAATTCTACACAGATTGTATAATGCTCATGTGTACATACATATATCAAGTGTAAATAAACAATACTGTAGCGAGAGCAAGTGTCTGTTATTTTAAAAGATAAATGATGAAGAATGATTAATACTTGTAAGTAAATTATTAGACGATTCTCAATTAGGCAATGAAGAAACGTTCATTTAATTGAGATTAATACATCTGTAACAGTGAAAAAGGCTGTACATAGCCAGCCACACTTTATTTTGTTTTTAAAGTCATATAGTAAATCGTTGAAAATGTATGCGTTTTGTTAACAGAGGCTGTTGGTTGTGTTTCAAATTATACTGCAATATTAAATATTACGCATAATTTTTGTAACTCTGGAAAGGGGGGGAGGGTAAAATCTAATTTTTTTCTTGTATGGTGGGGTAAAAGCCACTTTTTTCCGTCCAGGGGGGGGGGCACTTGCCCCCCTGGCTACGCCCATGTCTAAGAATAAATTACTGTTTCTCATTGATAAGTTCTACTCATGATAATTGTATAGAAATATACGAGTGACTTAAATTCAATACGCGACGATGTTGGCGTGCATCCGATCGAGGCTGAGGTCGTGGTGAGGTATTATCACATTGTAAAATTACTCAACAATCCTCTGTATACAGTGACATGTGGGTGAGTACCCGAAACTGTCTATGACGTAACTACCCGGTGTTCAATCCCCTTGGACCCAGTAATCTCAGAATCATGGGACCATTGTAACAAATGAAGTATACAATGTAACACGCAGAACAATTATATGAATTTTCATAAAACGAAAAAGAGCGTTGTTTGTTCTTTTGTATAGAACCTACTAAATATCGGTGATCCGATCTTTTTGCATTCTATTGTACAACAGCGTAAATAATCTTCGAATGACCTTGAATAAACTTGCTTCGAAGGTAACGCACAGATTTCTGTTTTCGTGGATCATTCTATCGTACTGTTGTTACTCTTCGTCATCGCACTGAATAGCCCGGCACTTCAGCGACTCGACTACAATTATCCGTTACAGTTGTCACCCATTTTCAACAATCGTGCGTATAATGGAACCGGAAGCGTTTAGTAATTCGGCTTTGAGTCGAGATCATGGAAGCGTCGAATCTATCGGAATGGAACGCTACAAAAAAACAGGTATATAACCGATTTTCATGATTTTAATGCCGCGGATACGAGTCGAGCAGAACTAGAGACGGGCAAATTCGTTATCTAGATAAAGAGCTTCGAATAACGAATAAGAGATAAGAAAGTGCATCGACATTTGCAATCGATCGTACGTGAAAATGACAATTTTTATAATAGAATGATACTTCTCGAGTGAGTAGACACTTGGCTAATCAATTATTTGTTAAAATAAACAAAATTTTTTTACTAGGTCTTAAGTATACGTGCTCGAATGTAAAATTGTGTTCAACTCTGTGAACAGAACTCGTCTCCACGCGCATTGAAGTCTCCGCGAATTTCGTCGCGCGTGCACCATCATTGTTTGCGCACGCAACGATCAGTCGAATATTCTTTATGCAGACTGGGTAATTTTAGTTATCGTTAAAAACCACTAAAACTTCTGTACGTATAATTTAAACACGTGCACATTTCATTTTCGTTGAATACCACACCATATTTATAAACCCAATATACACATAGAATCACTGATTGGAGTAGAATTGCTGCTAACAAAAGTCTCTTGAAGATGTTCGCGAATTACCGTTGTTTCTGCGACATTTAAACCTAGTACACTGGAATCTTGTAATCGAAGACAATGTAAACTAGGCGCGCACTGATTGCAGCTCAAATTGAATCCGCGCCGTTTCTGGAAACAATTACAATTATAATGAAAATGCGTCGGATTGTAACATACAGTGATCAAGTGTTTCTTGCGCGCGCTCGCTCTTTTTGCATTTACATATTGTAATCGTGGGAATGATGTTTTGGTACATAACACGTCGTTGGCGATCGACAAGTTGGCTGATATGCGTGAAAAAATTTGCGGTGGAAAATATTTTGAGGAAACTGGAAGCGATCGTTTGGAATTCGTCGAATAGATCGATAGCTTATCCCGCTGATCTCGATCCACCGACGACGTAATGTCGGGTGCTATTGACATATGGTAATTATCGGGGCGTGCGTCAGTCATTACTCCCGAGGGATTTATAATATTTTTATAAAAGTCGGCGACGTTGAGGCGCAGCACTCAGTCGGTGGTCGAGCGCGACGGAAGAAGGTTCGTGAAAGTTTGGTTTTAACGGCTCGCGAATGACTTTGTGCACGGGGGATCGACGGTTCTTAAGATCGGTAGAAATCCGAAATTTCCGTGGATCACAGTATATTCTCCGTGCGAGTAACTTTTATGTCATGATTACGACAAAAATCCACGTTGGATCCGTTCGACGTTCTGATGGTTTGAAGGGGGAAGACTATATTCTGTAATGTTGAAATTGAAAATGTTCAGAACGAACAGTTGTCTACATAGTAACAAATTGTTTTCGTGTGTAATATTCTGGTCCTTAGTGCACTTTCCTTCAAGCCAATAAAGATTTTTTCGGAATAGAAAGAGAATCGAAGAGACAATGTTCGGTGGTTTAGTAAATTGTTTATATTCTTTTCTGTTTCAGTCCAACTGCGTGATCTAAGATGTTGCCACTGTGTTTGGTGTTAATTGGCCTGTTGCATCCATTCGTTCACGTGGTTTCTGCTCAAGGTTTGCGTTTCAAATTGCTTTTCTGACACTTGCATGCGCTTCCAACGCATTCGCGACCTCGACACGCAGCCTTTGTGTACCATTGAACCAGAAACCACAGATACTTCTTAAACAACCATAAAACCACTTCGGTTTGCTGTCGAATATAAATAATAATTTGCTTTTTGCCTTGCGTGGGTAGAGCGATGAAGCAACATCCTGAAGTTAATGGTTCGTTAAATTGCGAATAATACCGATCGTGTTCACGTGACAGAGAATGTTCTTGTAGAGACGCTTTTCTAGGTTGATTAAATTAAGAAAATGATAACAGACAATCTGTGACATAATATTCAGGTATTTAATGTCAATCGAATCTCAACGTACTTGGAGGAATAGTTACATGAAGAAAGCCTCTGATAGATCAGAGAAATTGTGCAATAAGAATCCATTCGATGTTCACTGAATTTGAAAATCTTCAACGAAACTCTTTACACTACTGGTAGCCTGCGTTTATTATATCACAGAGATCCTTCATAATTCTTCACAGATGATTCACGGAACGAAAAAAACCAAAACAGGTTTCATGAGTCGATCAGAATTGCACATTTTTAATATTCTGTTACTTACCTCTTCTGCTCAGACTGGAAACGTGTTTGAAGTACCAATTAATTACCTCTGATTGATATTGTGAACACGAGGGAAGAAACGACAAGGGATTTCCCGGTTCGAAGATACTTTTTTCTTTCTTCCCAGAACATTGAGTAATCTCTGACGTAGGATAGCCCGGAGACGACCAAGGTCCGAACCTTCGGATCAAGTGAGCGAACGTTCCCATAAGTCCGAGCGATTCTGGAGGTCAAGCACAATCATCGTTAGTGTTACGTATATCACGACAGCGTGTAATTCCCTTACGATGATTCCAGTTGAATCAACGGAAAAAGTGAACCGAGTACAGAGAAATGGTGACTCAATCGGTTAATCAAGACGTGAATACAATGCCATTTTACTTTATAGATAAGCTAGGGGTTTTATTACCAATTAATTGTCCGACCATGTTGGTAACTGTTTCCTTGAATTATGACAGTTCTATAATTCTAGGATATCGGAACATTAATAGGTATGCTTGAACAGATATACAAAAGAAAGCTTAACTAATCAGGTTTCATTGTTTGTGCGACAGATGAGCAATCGATCTTTTCTTCCTCTATTCTCAATAGTCGTATATAAGATTTGTAATCTTGAAAATTTTCTATTTGCTACGTTTACCTGGTAAATACAGATCAATCTCGAATTTTAAGCTATGTAATTATTATGGAGAACTTTACGTGATCGTGGTGGACACGTTCATTTTTTTATCATGAAATGTCACGATTAACTACTTTCGTTACATTCCGATTTAGATATTTGTTTGCACGACTAGATTCAAGATTCCTAGGATTTCTCAAAATATATCCTCGAATTCATATTGATCGATGATAGCTTTGTTAATAGTTCTCTTTTTTTGCTCACGAATTCTCGGGGACACGATTCTTGTGTCACAATAAAATAACAGGCCCCCAATAGTAATTTCAGATTCGATTCGTAAATTGACAAACCGGTCTGCATCTTTTATACACGTCGACTTACGTAACGTTACATGTGCCTCGTCGTATTTTCTGAGAATTAACTTCAATTCTCGCGACGAACGGAATATATGGGTAATATACTCGATCATCAACGATCTTCAGTTCGAGGAAGTGAGTGAACTTACTGGCTACTGTTGCTGATTAACCCTCGTCTAGTGGATGCAGGGTCATTTTGACCCAATAACTATTATTTTTATCATTTCAATTTATTCGACACTGCAATCTAATTTATAGAGTTTTTACGTAACACCATCTTCACGCATACATATATGCTCGTTTGATTGTATGGTGAACGTTTCATACGTATTTACACCATTAAACAAACACAGTATACATTTCACTTAACTACTCAAATATATTTCTTCGCGTAGTGTTATCCATAAAATATACAAGAACCAGTCGTTATGTATCTAAGTACAAAATGACTCACTGTGTATTTGCCTCTGAATTGTTTGCATTGTGGCGTGGTCCATTGCGTTTGTAAAATTATCGGGATGAACTCGTCGTTCCGCATTGTCAACAGATTAATAGCGGAAATAGTATTCAAACGTACGTGATAACATGTTATAACAAACTGCATGGTACCGGTTGTCAGCTTCTCCAATTTCAATCTACTAATAACAACCAGATACATTCGACCAACTATCATTACATTCACTCCACAAAACATACGCCTTAAAGTAATCGAAATAATTCGATCAAATTCCATCAAATTCGAACATTTCAGGTCAGTCATGCACCACTCCGAACAACGCTCCAGGAGTTTGTCTTGGCATCCGAGGTTGCCCACCTTTGTTGGACATGCTGCAACGAGAAGGCGCCGCAGCCGGCAATTATCTGAGAGCATCACTTTGCTTCAACCAGCCTAGGAACCCGATCGTGTGCTGTCCTCTGAACAACACGGAACCACCCAGGGATGGGAAGGTGGTGCAGGACAACACGTACGGCCCCTTGTATCCACCGCAGTGCGGCTACAGCAATGCCAGCCACACCAGGGTGGTCGGTGGTATCCCAGCCCAACTTGGTGAACGAACAAAAATGATTACTTACTGAGAAATAAAGACACCCCTGGCGTTTACCAAACTCGACGCTCGTTTAGGACGACGCACAGAAAAAATTATTATCATTTACAATCATTCAAAATTCTTAATAATCAAGTAGATTCCTTCCAACGAGCCGATTACATTAGTTTAAACAGAGAACGATTTCCGTGCCAATTTTTTTCTCACGAACAGCCAGAAAGATGTCAAAGAGAGAGTACGAATTTTATGGTGGTGAAGGCAAAAAATTTCGTGAAGTTGAAGTATTGAATTTGATAAATGGTAGTGGATACCCTCCTGGCACACATAGCGAATTCTGGGTTGTGCATGTAGCGAATCGTGGGTGCCACTAAGGGGTTGAATTTTCTATACTATGAATAGAAGTTAGAGAAATTATGTTACCAAAGGATCTGTAATGTAAAATCATATAAATATACATATTCCCTGTGTTTAGGTGCTTGGCCATGGATCACCGCTTTAGGGTACCGCAGCAACCTGCATCCCGAGACTCCCTCATGGCTCTGCGGGGGATCCTTGATATCCGCCAGACATGTCCTCACCGCTGCTCATTGCGCAGTTCGTTCAGACCTGTATGTGGTTCGTATTGGCGATTTGAATTTAAGACGGGACGACGATGGAGCTCATCCAGTTGAGGTCGAGATCGAGCGGAAGATCATACATCCTGGATACAGCACCTCAGCATTCGTGAACGATATAGCTGTCCTTAGACTCGCGCAAGATGTGCAATTCACCGGTGAATTAATGCCTTACAACCTCTTAAATATTCACGATCGATTGCAAGTGTATTAACAAAGAGAATGTGTATTTCAGATCAGGTGTACCCGATTTGTCTACCGGTGGAGGAACCGCTACGAAGTAACAATTTTTATCGGAAATATCCTTTCGTTGCTGGTTGGGGTTCAATCGGAACCAGTGAGTAGTAATTCTCGTTTGTTGGTATAATAGACAATTTGCTGTTTCATGATTTAATCCTATTAATTCGTGTTCTACTGCAGAGGGTCCGTCCAGTAGCGAATTGTTGGAAGTGCAGCTGCCTGTAGTGAGCAATGATGATTGTGCACAGGCTTACGCGAGGTTCAACGGTACGGTTATTGATAGTCGTGTGCTGTGCGCTGGATTCAAACAAGGCGGAAAAGATGCTTGCCAGGTGAGCGAATTGTGAATTTATTACGATCGGGATGAACGTTTGTTTTGGGGATGGTCTAAAACCCATAAAAATCCAGGCAATCACTTTAATCTATCTTGATTGTTGACAGGGCGATAGCGGAGGACCACTGATGTTACCCAAGACATTTACCTACTACCAAATTGGAGTAGTGTCCTACGGCTACAAATGTGCCGAGCCTGGTTATCCTGGTGTTTACACCAGAGTCACTGAATTCCTCGACTTTATTATCTCATCGTTGCAATGATCCACGAAAATCCTTCACGGAAGATCAGATTTGTTGCCTTGAATCTCTCGAATAAGGAACATGTCTATTCTCGAGTGTTTTGTACATCACCGGACATAGTTATAAGGTGCACGAACTTGTTACTAATTCATGTGAACGCTTCACTCCTAGAGCTCAGATAAAATACTGTTATATACTGTGGTATAATTATCGTCGTCAGTTTAGTAAAATGTTCATTGTCGCAATGTAGTTACACTTTTGTATTAAAATTAATATTCTTACCACTACCTTTCACAATCATTTATTTTGGATACGACAATCTTCTTGTTGGGCTTAAGGATCCAAACAAGTCTTTCAAAATAGATTGCAACTCTTAACTCTCCTCGTCCTTAATTACTCTGATCTAGCACTGTTTTTTAGTCGTAGAATAACTAAATGTATGCGATCCATCACCAGAACATTTAAATATTCTAATAAAATCTCGATTGTTAGTACTTCTCTGTCACCTGATATTCTGTTTCGTTATCAGAATATTACCTAGATGACAGTGAATCACACGGACGTCTCACGATCAATCTCTTCTGATTCCGAACGATAAAATTCCGATTCGATATCAGAATATTACCTAGATGACAGTGAATCACACGGACGTCTCACGATCAATCTCTTCTGATTCATTAACCGATCTGTCTACAAAGATCATCGGTGTTATCGTCCGTGACCTTGAACGAGACACAGAGGAACGTTATCAGCGCCGATAACTGGCTATCGTGGCCTCTTATTTCTTCGCGGGCTACCGGGTTGCCTTAGTACACGTCGCGACCGACAGATGCCAGGATGTCGCTGATAATGTTGCACGTGTTACGTTGCCAAGGTTTAAATAAGTTGTTGGTCGCTCCGTTCAGATTAGAAGTGACCGGCAGACTCGTTGCATCACGACCGCGTCCTCCATCCAAGAAATTCGTGAGAAGCATGCCGTACACAACGATCGAGAGGGGTTCGTTGAACAGCACGGATTACAGGCTTTATTTCAGTAAGTAGACGGATGACATAACCTTAACTTTATTCAACGGTCCGATGCGAGCGGTTTCGTTGTTACGTTTGCGGTCATTATTTGCGCGTGTCGTCGCTTCATTAAAGTATTCAACGGTATAATTATGCGATATTTCGTTCGCCTTGAATGTGACCCGACCTTTATTATCAATTTCACATAGTTTCAGCTGACCTCACACATTTTTTTTGCATAACCACTGTATAGCCTTCTGTCTCTCCCTCTTCGTTCATTTTCTTTGACGCTTGTTTTTTTATATCGTAGTTGTAAGTGTTCCAATGTAAACGTTTTTCATTGCAATTTTAACATATTTCCGTCCTTCTGTATCACAAGAAATCAATGCCGCATATTAACAACGTGACATTTGATTTTAGTGAAAGTATTCGAATGCCTTACGCGCGACCAAAAGTCTGCAGTTGTTCCGCGCATATGGTTACGTTTAATTTGCATTTATACGAGAGCCTTTTTTTACTTTTTTTGCTAGTGTACAAATTTATTGATCTGCGGAAGTTTAAGAAAATACTGGATATATTTGATACAATCTTTACTTGATAGTTCAGGATGTTATATCTTAAATGAAAAATAAAGAGGAATTTTTTTATATGTTCGACTTCATATATTTTATGATATAAATGATATAAATTTGTATAAGGGTACATAGAAATTGGTCATACATATGATTTTCAATATACGTTATAGGAAATGAAGTTGGTCCAATTTCACCCATGCATGACATTCCACTTTATAATGATGAAAGCAATAAAATAGTAAACATGGTAGTTGAAATACCAAGATGGACAAATGCAAAGATGGAGATCAATTTAAAAGAAACATTGAATCCTATTAAACAGGATGTCAAGAAGGGAAAATTAAGATATGTTGCTAATTGCTTCCCACACCATGGATACATATGGAATTATGGTGCCTTACCACAGGTACAAATATAATGATTATTGTATATAATCTTCAGTGAATCACTGATATAATCTTTTAATACAAGACTGTTATTTATAATACAATACCAAACAATTTATCTAATTTATGACATCATTTAGTAGCTACAGAATGTTATCAACAGTTTTATTGATGCAACTAATCAAAGATTATGTGTGACTGCATGATAAATTGCAAGAACAATGCCTTATCATATTGTCTGGAAAGTCTTAAACTTTGTCCAAGGATATTTTACACTATCATCCTAGCTATGCCAATTTAAAATTAAGTTCTTTTCATTTGTTATCTTTCTTATTTTGTAGGAAATTCAGAGAAAAAGTTCATTTGTATTCATTATTAATTAAGGTTTTGTTAACAGACATGGGAAAATCCTGAAGTTTTGGATGAAGCAACTGGTTGCAAAGGAGACAATGATCCCATTGATGTCCTTGAAGTTGGATACAGAGTAAGAATTTTTTTTGTTTTTATATCGTTAGTCAATTCTAATTTACATATAATTAAAAATGTTGTACAGGTTGCTAAAAGGGGTGAAGTTTTGAAAGTAAAAGTTCTTGGTGCTGTAGCACTTATTGATGAAGGTGTGTAGTAATACGAATTTTTGTTAACTTTATCATATTCTTACTATTTTATTTGATTTTAATTATTGCTGTTTTCAGGTGAAACTGACTGGAAAATAATAGTTATTGACATTAATGATCCTCTGGCAGAGCAGATGAATGGTAAGAATTATATTTCTGTTAACATAATCATTTTTATTTTTATGATTTATAAGAAAGTTGATTATTTAAACAGCTGTACGATTCATGTACTTAACTTGAGAACTGATCAAATATGGGAAGAGTTGGCCTTAAATAGAGTCTAATGATATTCTAGACTTATCTAAAGTGAATGATTTGACTTAATCTGAGCATAAATTCACGTTACGTAATCACGTACACGAACTACCCACTAAACTCTATTAAGCACGTGACTAGTACAAACGAAAATTTCAGTCTTTCTTAATGAACTTCTGCGTTTTGATGATGACATCCTAGTCGCGATAAAAACCTGCTGAATCACACACGCATTTATTATAATGCTCGTGCACACAATGGTATTTATGTAGCTTTTTTCTTCCGCAGATATAACCGACATTGAAAAACATTACCCGGGTCTGATGAAAGCAACCATTGAATGGTTCAAAATCTACAAAATACCGGATGGTAAACCGGAGAATCAATTTGCGTTTAATGGCGAGGCAAAGCCAAAAGACTTTGCATTGCACATAGTGGAAGAAGTACACCAACATTGGCAGAATCTCATTAAACGGGAAGCACCTGCAGGAGGGATTGCATGGTTGGCGAATTTATTACTATTTCTTTGAAAAATATATACACTTAAATAGGGAGGTAAATGATAAATTTATTTTTAGTACGAACTTAACTGTCACGGGCAGCCCGTTCAAAGTTACTTCAAATGTCGCTGAAGAAATACTAGAAAAGGCTCCACCACAGTCAGTAGAGCCTCAACCAGTGGATCCAATTGGTGAGTTAAGACTTAAAATACTTTAACAGAATTTGATACCTATAATTCTATCTCCTTTCAGTTAATAAATGTTACTTCGTTTCGCAACTATCAAATAAATTATAAGCTAGTTCAACAATACAACTTACGAGTTCCGTTTCAATATGTGTAATTGATGTACTCGAGTTTTAAAATCAACAGTAAACAATTAAGAAATTGTTATGATGTTTGATTTCAGTTAATAAGTGGCATTACGTACATCTTAAGTGAGGAAACGACGGGATATTTTCTCATGAGAGCATCATTAGATATCTACACATACTTGCTTGTTTTGCTGGCACATGACGGAATACCACGTATTATTTCCATGAGTTGCTTCGTCCTACATTTTTGATACATCCACACTAGTTCTAAATAGTTAAATATTGCAGCGTGTGCTTGCAGTACTGAAACAAGCAATATTTATCTATCTCATTGAAACATGACAGTTCAGTTGTACATGTCCTTTATTATTTATTGAAATATAATAATATGGAAAAAGACGATTGTCTATGAACATCGGATCGGACTACGTGTACAAAGTTAATATTCACTATGATTTAATAATTTATGAAATCTTGTTCCTGTACTGTATGTACATACTCATAATGGGTTCTAGGAAAATGAACATACTCCTGTCTAAGGTTGTGATACAACTTCCCATAAGTATAGAAGAGATGGGTAATTTAATTAAATAAAATTTTATTTTTCTTCCTAGTATTTGTTACATCACTGGTTCATGTAATACAATAAAGTAGTTTATAACTATGTCTTTGAAGTATCTTTTGTAAAAGCTATCCCCAGAAACATTTTTTTGCTACTCCCAAAACAACTGTACATTAGAAAATTTAAAAGTATATTATTATTACATTATTTTCGATGAAATTAAAAAATTATACTTATTTACTTTAGTAGTTTGTACGTAAGTGTTGGAGGTGGAACAGTTTTACAACTACTGATACCTAAAGGATTACTTTAATTTCAACGAGAAGATATTTATACTTTGTGATCTCGTCGAAGGTGCATGTTTAGCTATTTTTTATTTTACAATGGGTTTGCAGCCATTCGCTCAGCATTATCCTCGATTTACAAAAATGCAAATCGAGGATAACACCGATTACCAGGTCTCACCACG